GAAGACCTAACCACCTCTTAAATCAAGATGGAAAAAAATTAGTAAAGAAGAAGCAAACTCATTGACTAAAACGAACCCCGTGAATCGGAAGTTAATATCCTCATTGTTGTTGCAACTAGAATCGTCAACAACAACAGGGACCTGCCACACCAAATCTAATGTCAGAGCTAGCTACAAGCCTTATGTTTTTACCTTGAAAGATTCTAGATCCATACTCTTCAAGAAAAAGAAAAAAAATGAAGAGCAGATAAACCTTATCTGGATTCCATGACCACCCCTCAGGTCCATTTATCTTGAGAATGAATGAGCCCTATGCAAAGAAAGCGTAGAAATTACTTGCAGCAGAAACGGAACACTGATTCATTCAACAAATCCATCTTTAACTGGCAGGACCAAACGAAACAAGGATACGTTTTGATGAATACCTTGTCATATACTGGGATGAAATAGTAACCATTTGGGGCACACTGTGTACTGTCTTTTACCAATCCATCTACTGTCCGAAGCTCAACCTAGCCATTTAGAGGGGGAAAAAAAAGAAATCAGTGAAACTTTTCAAAGAAAAGAAAAACGCTAGTAGTCAATAAATTGAATGCTTACCGTGATGTGAGAAAAATCCAGCTTCCCATCGGCTCCTTTCCGAGACTTTACCAAAGACGAACTCGCCTGCACATTTTAGTATATTAATACATCACCTCCCGACGAATCCAGATCCGATCGTACTCCACAGTGATAATTTCCAAATAAAACCATCCTTCGAAATGGATAAATTCAGACCGAAATGCGTAAAAGTACAAAGCAAGTCCAACTAAACTGAATCTACCATCCAAGCAAACATCCACAATATTCCAATATACACACTCTTTAGTAATCGATCAGGAAAAAAGTAGGACGATACGAATCGGAAAAGAGAAAGAGATAAACCTCAACAAAACCACCGCAGCCTTTTATCGAATCCGCGGTAACACCATAAACTGTAGAAATCGCTACGAGCAAGACGATCAGATACTTACGACTGGCCGCCATTGTTCCCGATGAGAAGCTCCGGTGACGGAGCTTTAATGGTTGAAGTTGGGAAAGAGTGATGTTCGTCAATGGAGCACGGATCCAAAATATCGGACCGATTGACTCCGATCTGAATATCGTCGATGGTTTTTAATAAGGGTTTAATGGGCTTTTTGAAAATGGCCCATCAAAACCAACATCATATAAAAATAGAGAGACATTATCAATTATCATTTAACTAAATTACAAAAAACTATTTTACACTACAGGCTATACAGCTGTCGAGATTTGCTTACCGTTTGAAGAGTCAAGCTCAAGCGTGAGGAGTTTTTGATAAGTAAATCGTCAGTCAACTGTGGAAAGTAGAATCATCGGAAAATCAATATGCTTCAGCTTCTGGTTATAGCATTGCTTTTGATTTTCGCGACGGAGAAGGTTGTTTCGCACCAAGAATCTGGCGAATGGAGTTGTGAATCGGACTCGGAGATCCATGTCATGGCTGATTATAGACCGGGGATTATCACACTCGATGGTCACAACGATGACTGGAAAGACATTGAGGATTCTGAGTTCCCGCTTCGACCTGCGCTTGATCCAGACGCTGACCACGAGTATGACGCCGGGAAAATGATTGTCAAGGTAATGTGTTGATTAGAATCGGATAAGCATTGTGTAATCGGTTGTGAAACTAGTTTTAGTTTTTATTAGATTGATGAAATTCGTGCTGAGATTTCGGTTTTGCGAAGATCTGTTTGGTGAGTTTGACCAGAGTAGTGGTGATGCAGACCTTGTTGTGACGTTTAGATTTCGATTGATAAATCTGGATTTTGTAGAATTTGAGCTCGGAGAATTGCTTTTTAATTTTGTTAGCATTCAATGGGTGGATCTCTATTTTTACTTTGTAGGCAGTGCATGATGGTCGAGATATGTACTTCATGCTGGAAATTGATGGAAATTACGCTTATGATAAAGGGTAAGTGTGATTCCTTTTTTAATTTCTAAAATGCAAGATTTCTTTTTAGATCTCTACCAAGATCCGAGAACTGATTACCAGAACTATACAATACAGTATCTGAGAGTTATGGTAACTGTTCCCTAGTTTTAATATGTCTCTGCTTCTAACCATTGAGAATATGGTCCTGCGACGAAAAAGTTATCCAATGCAAGTTTGGGTTTGATTAAAACTCATTTCTATTTATATTTTGCTTGATCCTCCTGAAAGATTTTTTCTGTGAATATGATATCTGGTCGGGCCCTGGGATTCATTAGACTTAGAATTTAGTCATTAGACTCATTACTTATCAAGATCTTTCATGTCTATTACTTTCTAAGATACAGAGGTGTGTCAAAATATATGCTACTACTTCAGATGATATTGAAATGATCCTTGATTTAATCGATTGGACGTAACTTTAAATTGCAAGTCTATCACTACTGTAGTGAACTGCTTGCTTCTTTAAATCCAGTGAAAACAAGAAGTGTCCTTCAGTGGCTCTCATGTTCCAAATAGGTGATCAAGCTACTTATCACAATGTAAGTTTCCAAGGTGACTAGAGTATTTTTTGTTCAAATATCTTTTAATTTAAGATCCATGAATGTTTTAAATGAAGTAGCTGATGTCAACCTTTTGCTTTGTAAGATGGGTGGCTGTAAAGAAGGAACAGACTCATGTACCAGCAAGGCTTGCAGAGGCTTCGAGGTTGATATTATGCATTTTTCCATTGGAAACGCTATCCCAGGACGCCTTTATGGTGGTAACCCGATAGACAACGGGGAAGGAAATGGAGGTGACAGGTGATTTGTAGTGCAATACGAACTGTTGTGTCTATCTCATAGTTTGATCTGGTGTTATACAAATTCAGTGAATCTAGGTCAACTCCTTATTCGTTTATTAAGTGGCTTATCTGTACCTCTGTTTATTTTGTTTATTGATCGCCTCTGTGTTTTTCTTATGAACAGATTTGGTCATCTGGTTGACATTTATGCGTGGAATCCCCATTGTCGATACCTTGATGGTCTTGGACCCTCAGGTACATTTTCGGATCAGACGGTGTTATATTTTAAGTCTAGATGCAATTAATGTCATAGAAGTTCCCTATAATGACCATATGAAATTGGCCACTTTCAACCAACAAAATAATTTACTTTTTTCACTTGCTTTGATTCATGGAAGGTTAGTAATTATATAGGTTGTTAGTTCTCTAATGTGTTTTCCCAAGTATGAGACGCTTGAATTCCTTAGATTATAAATTACAGTATTTGTTATCTAGTTGGATGCTAGCTTCTCCTGTGCAAATTAGAAATATGTGATCCCAATGGATATTTTTCTGGCAGGAAATGATTCTAGTGCACAGAACGATTGGCATGGAGCATGGTGGCACAGCAGCTTCACTACTCAATCAGGTCAGTCTTACATATCTACATGATCAGTTCCATGAGTTCCCAAAAACTAAGATAGATTAACATGCTTTTAACTGGAAAGAGAGCTGGAGTTGAGCTAAAGCTCCGTGTGTATAACTATAACCATCTCTTAGAGTTAGGCATCTCCTCGGGTCACTTAATTTTGAATTTTTCAACAGGTTATGTAGAGGAAGACAGCCCTTACACGCAAGATGGCAAGAAAGGAACTTACTTTTTTGAGTTCTCAAGGCCTTTGAGGACTATGGACCGTCTCCAACAGGTCAGTACATCCTCTAATCGGGTCAACGAACCATTGGCCCTTCCCTAAAATATAGTATAACCTCCAAGCATGCTTACCTCTTTGAATCAGTATTTACTCTTAAACCAGAGCGACCTTTGTCAAGCACTGGACAGAAATAGCATGTGCTTAAAGATGAGTTCTATTTAAAAGACAAGCATTTTCTTATCTACAGGATGTTCAGTTCACGCTTGGCTCACCGGCCAAAATGTCGGTTGCATTCTGGTACCCAATGGACAGCAAACCGTGGCACGGATCAGGACACTACACGATCAACTGCGATTGGATCCCGCTAGATATCTCCTCGGGCTCTTCTTCGAGTCTCACCACTTCAACTGTCAAGGGCTCTAGCGACGGAACCAGCATTTCTGCCATAGTTATGTCCATGATATCTCTTGTTGTGTCGGGTTTTATTGCATATAGGTTATTTAGCCCCAGGAACGTGCCATTCACACCCATGGAAAACAATCTGTAGGAGAAAATAGGTTTACACGGATATTTGTCACTTTCTTCGTCACATTGCTGATTTGGTTTTGGTACCACATTGAGAGAGATTCTTCTTTTTGGCTTATAGTGAAATGGGTAAATTGGAAGTTGCTCTTGCTATTCACATCAAAGCAGTGGCCAACAAGTAGAAATTATTTCAGAAATCAATACTTGAATTAGTTTAACTTTGAAAACATTCGAGTGCATGATTAAGAAGATAGATATCGAATTTGGCCATTGAGGAGTTTGTAAGAAGTAAAAAAACATAAGCCAATAAAAAATTTCATAAATTGGAAAGATGACTAATGTTTTTTTTTTTCTTTGTTACAACATTAACCATAAAACTAGACCAAAGAAACTTAGTTCTCCGCTTGACTTAACAAAATCTTACATGGCTTGTACCATGTAGGCATGTAAAGCAAGCCGCAAGACAATTTAAATTTTATACTTATCTGAAGATTTTTCAACACCTTTTCTTGTCTTCTTTTGTCAGCAACATTAATTTCTTGCACCTTTCTATACAATGTTATTGCTATGCGCATTAGAAACTATTATATTTGTCGAATACTACAGCTGTATATACTATTTATATTCATAAGAGACAAAAAAAACAATAAAAGAATGAATCCACAGGTATTAAATTTATATTCATAAGAGACAAAAAAAACAATAAACGAATGAATCCACAGGTATTAAATATAAAATAAATTTTCAAGAAGACAATACGAAATTATTATAAATGTCCATCTATATAAGAAAAAAACTATATATTTATATATTCATATGGAAATAAAAAAACAGATTAGTCACTTTATTTATCTTCTGAATTAGTTATTGTTACAGTACGTCAAATATGAAAAAAAAAAGCTTTGGTTTTCGTTTTCTGATGGTTGTGGTTAAACCAGATTAAGATTAAGCACCCCTACAATAAACAAAGTTGTGAAGAAGTAATTCAAAGCTTTTAGTTTGTTACTGTATTTTATCGTTTATGTAGCAAATGGAGGTAAAGGAAGTGGTTCCAAGTATCAGGAACACCAGGGAGACACCAATGACTGCAATCTTGAACAGGTGGTGAACGCCGGTTTTCGGGTTTTGTTCCGAAGATAGAAGGGTGAGCATCAATTCTGTACTGAGATAAACCGCTAACGTTCAAGAGAGTAACCGGTGTTTTCATCTGGTTTAGTACTTCCTCAACAATCATGTTTTTGCCAGAGTAACTCGGTTTGAAGGTTTGGTTCAACAGCTTGTTGGCTTCTCTACAATGACCTCCTGAGTTCCATTCTCCTCCACTGTCCAAATCAACTATACAGATATGATAAATTGAGACAAAAAGATGAAGATTATAAAGCACAGGATAGGATAGATGGGACAAAGACCTGAAATGAGAAGGTGCTGCGCTTCTAAAGAAAACTCGGGTTTTCTTTGAATCGACATTTTTGTCAACCCATGATGACCAAGTTTGCAAAGCTTTCTTGAAAGCGGTCGATACATCAAGCTTTGGATGGATATCGTTTCCTTCTTGGTAATAGTTGATCCTGCAAAAATCAAAACTAACCAATCGGAATCTTGATTCCATTTCTCTTCTGATAATTTTTTAAGTTAAGTGAAAAAATACTGACCCGGATTTGGTTTTGTAGTGAGACCACCAATGTGCTGTATTGAACACTAAGATATTAGCACCTTTCCATCTGGAAGAGGTTCGATCCATAGCATCGATTCTAAGTGTTTCTCTTCGCTTCTTTCCAATTCTTGCTTTACCCTCACGAACCAAGAAATGAGTAACGTAGAATTCCACAGTGCATTTGTAATCCTAATTAAGTACACAAACATAATATGAATAACAATCACAAATCTAAGCACACGCATATGGTCACTACAGATTAATTATAGCTGTTTACCAGGAAACGGAAGCTGTAATTCCCTTTCTCTTTGGTGATTCTACGGTTGTGCGTTTCGTAGACTCTCTTGGGATCTTTAACAGCTTGAAACAACATACATAGCATAGATTCCCACTGGTTTCTGTTGATTGAATCTCCAACGAACACTAGCCTTTTCCCTCTTATCATTTCCAGCATTTTTGTAGCATTGAACCTAAAACCCAAACATACCCAAAATGGCCACAAATTTCCGAATTAGGACCATGAAATGCCCAAAAGGGTTTATTATATTAGTCAATGCTGTCTCAAAATAATTCATTGCTCAGTGGAACTATTATGAATCCCAATTATCATTAACAGTCACTATCACAATCCATTACCCACAATAGAAATGTCAAGCCTTAAGAGGGAAAGAACAAAATCGGGAAGAAGAAGCTAAACCTTGGAGCATCGCAATCATGAGGCTCCCATCTCCATTTCATGTAATTAAGATCCAATCTTCCGTTGCTTTGACAACCGAATCCTTCATCGATAAACGGACAAGTCGCATTTGTGTACAATGGAAAGTCACTGTCGTAAACCCATTTCCCTTTCGTAACATCACACTCTTCGATTCTCTTCTTCTTTTCCTCTTCACCATTGTTGCTCGGAAGTTGAATCACTTCTACTGAAGTTAAGTTAGCAATGACCTTATCTTCCTTAACCAAACTCTCGCCGCGAGTCTTCTGCTCAAAACCCGGATCTTTCGCGGACCCGGAAGTGTTTTCGGGCGGGCTGAACTGGGTAGGGCTCAGAAACGGGGTTGCCTGAGGAGAAACTGAAGAATCGGAGATGGAGCTACGGATGCTGATAGTCTCGGAAATGGCTCCCGCAGGGCTTAAAGCGATCTGGAAGTTAGCTTCTGTCGTTGGGTAAAGAGAAGAGTTGGATTTGATTAAGGAAATGGAGAAGAAACTTAAGAAAACAATGGCGGAAGAGACTGTTGTAATAATCAATGCTAAGACTCTTGTGGACTTGGCAGAGAAACTCCTCTGCCTCTCCATTTCTCTCACTATCTCTCTCTCTCTCTCTGTAACTGAAATGGACTTAGTGAGGCAACAGTCTCATAATCTATAATCAGAAGGCTTCTTAGAATTCAAAATGCAAATGTGAGAAAAAGCTTGAATTGGAGTCGCCAACGGTGGTTGAGTCGTGGGGTATAGAGCGGAGATTCGGTAGAGAAATGATAATGACATTCTTACGAACTCGTGAGCTCATGAAAATTTAATAATTAAAGAACAAAAACGGAGGAAAGATAATGATGAGGATTTAAAGTCAGGATTTGAAACAGTTTGTTAATTAGTGACAGATTGGATTTGGATTTTAACGTGGTAGGACACACTCACTTTCGCTGGAGTTTTTCAAGGAACACGAGCCCCGAATGGTAATCTTTTGAATTTCCATAAGTGCCCCTGTAACTTAATATATTAAGGCCCATATATTTCGGCTTTCTTCAGCCCATATAAAGGCCCAATTAATATGTGATGGATGGAGTACAGACTCAGTGATTGGATTGATTCTCTCTGCTTCCGCAGTTTCATTTCCATTTCGTTCGTCGTGGTTCTCTCTCTCTTGTTCCACGCAATCTGACTCGGTAAATCCCACAATCTTCTCTTGATCTGTGTCTTCTGCTTTAAAATTTTGAGAGCTAATCAAGTTTATGATTTGATTGGCTATCTAGATTACGATTGACTCTTATCAGATTCGGATCGATTTCTCTTCATTTAGTGGGGATCGATGTGATTTGGATCGAAATTTCTAGTTTGGCTGTCGCGGTTTTGATTGACTTTCTTAGGGCTTGCAAAATTAATCATTTTTATTCGAGAAAGATGCCAATTTTATTTCTGTATTCTGTGTATCCAAGTTATTTTACCCTTTTTGTGAATGAATCCGAAGCCTTCGATATCTTCCGTTGAATAGAGCTTAAATTACGACAGAAAAGAGGATGAGATGGAAATTAGATTCTTTTACATGTGTTTGTGTTTGTGTGTGTGTGTATTTTGACTCCAAAAGATATATGTAAGAATTTGCTTTCAGAATATGTTGATACATAAGAGAGACTGTATAGATAGAGATAGATGATTTGTGGTTGACAATAGCATTTTCAGCTTTTAGCTTGGTGAGGATTGTAAAGTTGTGGATGACGTTTATAGTATTTGACTCAATGCAGAGAATTTAGCTGCTGGTGGGTTGAGCAGAAATGGCAGGACACAAGGTTGCGCATGCCACATTGAAAGGTCCGAGTGTTGTGAAGGAATTAATCATCGGTTTGACACTCGGTTTAGCTGCTGGTGGTCTCTGGAAGATGCACCATTGGAACGAGCAGAGGAAAACCAGAGCTTTCTACGACTTGCTTGAGAGAGGTGAGATCAGCGTCGTCGCCGCTGAAGAGTGAATCAAAAAAGCCTCTCTCATTCTCAATGTTTTGAGCTCGATTTTTCTTTTTACATATATAGTTTCTTGTGATCTCAGATGAGTTACCTGAGAACAGGGTTGCCTAAGAAATAAGCAAAACTGAGATCAGATACTTGGGATTTGTTTTAAGTAACGTATTGTTTTTCCGGAGATACATTATATTCTTCCTTAGTTAAAATTTTCAGACATCTTTCTTGACGTTTCCTTCGACAGACGAGGATTGTTGCACTGTTTTTCCTTTCCGTTTCCGTTATCAAATTGTAATGATGTCATCGTGTGAACTGTGAAGACGTATATTACGCTTTTCTATTTATCGTCTTTAATTTTTATTATTTCCTCGTAAATATCTAACGAGAAAATGTTCTCAGAAAACGGCTTGGACGGCTGCAAATTTTCAACGTTGTACTGGCTTGTTTGATAGTTTGATCGAATAAAATAATATCTCAGAGCATTCAAATACGTGTAACTCTGTGCTTGGTTTAAAGAGGATAAGAAATGGAGTTCACAGAATGAAATTCACGCACAATTTATATATCTTCTTCGCTCCAATATATCTGAAATATATCTCCTTTCACAAAAAAAAAAAAAAAAAAAATCCGACGCCTAAAGGTATTTTCTGCATCCAACGATGGCAGCTATAGCTACTAGTGTTAACATTGCAACCCAACGAGGCGTCGTCACCAGCGAGAATCGTCCGGTTCGTCTCATCGGTCCGGTCCGTTTGAACAATCCGTGGAATCTTGGTTCAAGAACAACGAACCGGATGGTGAAAATTAGACCGGTTAAAGCAACGCCAGAAGGAGGGATAACAGATAAAGTGGAGAAGAGCATTAAGGAAGCAGAGGAGACTTGTGCAGGCGACCCAGTGAGCGGAGAGTGTGTAGCTGCGTGGGACGAGGTGGAGGAGCTTAGCGCAGCTGCTAGCCACGCTAGAGACAAGAAGAAAGCTGGTGGCTCGGACCCTCTGGAGGAATACTGCAAAGATAATCCCGAGACTAACGAGTGTCGTACTTACGACAACTGAATCATGTTCCCCATTTCCCGCATATTCCAAATCTTTTGTTCTTGTCAATTTGGTATTCAGATACGATATGAATGCTGTCTTTGAGACTTAAAATAGCTCCTAAAAACACATTGTAAGATTCCTAAGCGAAATTCGAACAAATCATCATTATATCAGTATAGGCAAATCGTAGATAACAATAAGCCAATAACAAAGCTTGAATTCATTTAAAAACACATAAAAAAACCAATTACATGACAAACTTATATTATGTAGACGACACAAGACTAGAGGACTATGGCTAGAAAACCAGAACAAGACCAGACAAACTGAAATTACGGGAAAAACAAGAGACTAAAGTCTTATAAAGATGACACACGACTCATTTCACCAATTACTCTTCAATTTTACAAATGAGGAACCCGACCAAGACGAAATCTCAATGCTTCTTTGGGTAGGAAATCCTCTCAGCATTCAAACATATCAGCAGCAGCCATGATTGGTTGCATTGGACAAGAAATCTGCCAAGGGTTCTGCATAGATTCAGGAATCTCTGGAATATCCAAAGCCTGACCACTAATCTCTTCGACCATCTCAAGCACAGAGTTCAATGATCTTAGCCTGTCCGTTAACTCCAAGGCTTGTGCTCTCAGGACGTTGTTCTTAGACTCCATCTCGACGTACTTCCTTGTAGCTGCATCAACCTGCTCAGTGATTTTGGCGTTATCGTTCTTGAGAAGAGTGACTTCGTTGATCAGATCACCAAGTTGCTTCTGTTTCCTCATCCTTGATCTCCGAGCGGATTCTCTGTTTGAGATCATTCTCTTCCTTTTCCTCTCGTCCGTGACCGTCGCGTACCTCGGATCATTGTCGGAATCAGGACTTGTCTGCCTTTGCAACGACCCCATTTCCCGTTGGCTTTTTTGACTTTTCTCACCAAAATTAAACAATAGAATATATAGATTCCTAATATAAATAGGTTGATTACCCACAAACTACTAGACACGATTGATCAAAATCCCCTTTCTCTAAACTACCAAAGAATTAGTTAGATCGAACGAAAAAGCTCGAGAATGAAACAAATCAGATCGGAAATGATTACTTCATGAGAAAACGTACGAATAGTACAGATAAACGACGGAGAAAGAGTGTAGAATGCGAATCCGACGAAACAGAATTGAATAGCTCATAGAAAATCCAGAATCATTCCTACTTTTTCAGAATCCCAAATTTCTTCAACCAAACCCTAGATCTAGATTTAAACTCAACAGAGAATAGATCTGAAAACAGAAATGAATCAAACGAAGGAGGAGAAATATTTTTTGAAAAGCGAGAAAAAGAATGGATCAATACTTGGCTGATTGAGAAAACGAAAACCAAAAAAGCTATAGATCAAAGGCCAAACGAAAGAAGGCGATGAAGTTATCCCAAGGGGTCGTTTTAAAGGAGATAATGATGAGCTGGCGAAGGCTTTTTCAATATTTTTTTTAATAAATAAAAGAAGGCTTTTGGTATGTAATTTTTTTAATAATACAATTTCGAGACTGACGCTAGCTGTGACGCCAGCTGGAATTTTATAAGGGAAGCACGTTTGTTTCTCCGTCCTTTCACGGATGGAATATTCCACGAAGATGCCTCCAAGAAAATATCAAATGTATTGCTAATGCTAAATTGCTAAAGTATAAGAAAAATTGAGTTTTATTTTGAATATTTCCACACGAAAGCAATGCCGAACACACTATTCATTCATAAGCGTGAAATTGATTAATTATATAAAGCGACCATTAATTACAATTTACAACCAAAGTCTACCATATAGCTTTTCTTTCATATGCGGGTTTCTTTGGTTAAATGACGTCCGTGATGATTACATCATTTTAATAACACACGATTTTTACAAGTTTTTAAATTTTTAGCAGAGAATTGGGAGGTTAGCTCCTAGGCTTTCTAATGGGCTTAATTGAGCTTATGGGCTTAGCATATCTCTTAAAAACCCAGGTGTTTTACCGACAATTTTGAAAAATCGAATAACAACAATTCTGATTATGTTTTCCAGTCCATTAATAACCAAATTGTTAATGACCGAGTTATTTTTAGAAATTAGCTCATACACAGTAAGAAACAGATGCTATTTTTGATTCTGATTCTAGCTTTTTGGTCTGAATTGGTTTGTCTTGCACTGGTTTTTTAAAACGTAATAAATCAAACCCGAAACAAAGTCAACTTGAGGATAGAGTTTAACAGTATTTCCAGTAAGTTGATTAAGTCATTAAGAGATGTTGTAAAAGAAGACATCAAAGCAAATGCTTGCCACAAAACTCAACTAAATCCCCTCCGGCCAAAAAACAACACAACAACCAGTTAGAGATGGCGAAAACGCCAAGATGTGTTCGATTCAGAATAATATCAGATATGAAAGATACCCAAAAAAAGAAGAAGAAAAAAAGGAAGCCCGTTTGTTTCTAGATCAGAAATGGAAGTTCATGTTGAGGCAACAAGATTAGAGTTTTTTCAGAAGAAATTGACCTGGAATTTGCATTTGGAAGAAGCTCTGGGAAGCATTAGGAGATCCGACATGATGTGGAGCTTTCTGTCATGTATTCCTTCTTGAACATCAAGTTCCAACAGCTCAAGACAAGGCAATTTCTGCAAGACATGCTTTATTTGCACCATCTCTCCGGTATTTCCCTTGAACTCTGTTATCCTTAGGGTCTCAATATGGCAGCATCTGAAGAAAGAATACCCCGACAAGCAATCGCAAACTGATTCCAATTCCTCCTGATATAATGGATCAGCATAGTGCAAAGTACCCTGAAAAAAAAAGACAGGAATTTTGAGATTGAAGATTATATGAGTTTTCAAAACTCTTTTGTTTGTCCAATGAACTTTTTGAGGTTCTCGTTCATACCTCAATGGTGAGTGTCTTTAGATTTGGAGAATTCTCAAGAAGAATATCCAGACCATCCCAGCAGAAATATGGCTCCGTTTGAACTTCTAAATGAAACAGGTTTTCAAACAACGGGACTGCTTCCTCGAAGGCGTCAAACACCTGGAACAGAATAAACAAAAACTAGTCAGTCATAGCTTCAACAAAACATTCTGATATCAAGGAAGAAATTTGATTTTAATATCTCAATGGAGTAACTGACATATTAGAGAGCAAGAAGTAATCAGCAGAGATGGCTTACCAGCATCGTGTCGACATATGCTAACCTCAGAATCTGAACATTTTTTAACCCCTTTAACAGATTTGTAAGATCGCAGGTATCCCCATCCAATAAAGCAGGAAATCCGAGCTTAGCTTCAACAAGGGAGTTAAAGTTAACAACTGGATACTCATCTCGAAGAACATCACAGTATTCCAAGTATTCGAGACTCGGAATATCAAAACTAATAGGCTCAGAATCATTGGCATTATATTCGTACATTCCTTCACGCCGAATAGTAAGTCTCTTAAGGATCTGACTAGACACAATGCGACACCAATTCCATTGATCATTGCTACGGCCATCTATGACTAACTCCTCAAGAACAGGACAAGCAGATAGAAGCCTTTGGAACACAGAACCATCATCAAGACCATCGAACCGGACTGATTTAAGAATGAGAGTCTTAAGAGCTGGAAGCGAAGCATTCTCATGGATAATGTCAATAATAAAACCAGACCCTAGTTTCAGTGTCACGATGCTCTTGCAAGTGAACACCTCAAAAGGCAGTGGATAGACATAGATGTCCAATTCAAGATCCAAGACACCGCGCTTCAAAACATTGCGTAAACAATCATTGACATTATCGTACGGATACATACTCACATGTGGCAATTTCAGAGAGAATCTTTTAAGACGGTGAGTGGCAGGTATAGCCAATAATCCAGCAACGAAATCCTCGAATCTTCTGTGAATCTTTGACTTGGGTTTGAATTCAAGATTCGGTATGATGTGAATTCGATTGCGCAGGTTCTTTGAGAGCAACTGTATGCGCACAGCCGCCTTTGCCGAAGCGAAGGACACGATGTGGCAAATAACGTCCTCTGGTAAAGTGATGGTGAATCTACCCATACTTTTCGAAAACCCTAATCAACTCAATTCACTACCTTAATGGAACTTTCAACGTCTTGATTCCAACATCACTCATCCACAAACCAATGATCAATTTAGAAGTAGAGAAACTTAAGTGAAGCGAAATGTGCAGAAATTAGACGAGAAATATCGATCAATTCTTCACTTGGACCATGAAATCCAATAGCTAACTGAAGCAAATTCCATCGGACCCAGAGATGATTCGTAGCACTGTTCTTGAGAAAGCAGAGAAAGAGAAGAAAGTAAAACGACTCGGAGAAAAATTTAGTTTTCTTTCAATTTATTTCTGCTCTAACTAATAGAAATGCTTTCTCGTTTTCGTATACAAAAAAAATATAAAAATTCTAATCCAATGGTGTTGTGCCAGCTGTCGTTATCCACTCTCAATAATAACTGAATTCAGTCCTCGTTTGTGAAAGCAGCATCACGCGCTTTGACTACTTTGCAGTCACGCGCTTGAGCCGTAGAATTGGGCTTTGCCAAAATAAGCCCATTTCATTTTCTATTGATTTCACGATATTTTTTTAAAACGACATAGCAACCAGTTGTAAATTACAAAAAAAAACAAGAAGATGTTCAATGCAGACCGATATCAAGATGCATCAAAAATAACACCAGTTTCCCTAATCCCTATGTCAACAAAAGTTTTTTTTATATATTTTTAAAAGATTGATTCGCATCATTAACTATTCTAATTCTGCATAATTCATCATAAACAGTTTTGGTGCACAAAATAGAATCATATTTCCGGCTTCCAAACGATTTAAGCAAATCTAGGAAACGACCTGGAAGTTGCACTTGGACGAAGCTTTGGGTAGCTTTTGGAGATCCGACACGAGTTTCAGCTTTCCTTCATGAGATGCCTGAGAATGAACTTCCACCAGAGCTCAAGACATGACAATTTTCCCAAGATATACTTCATTTGAATCAACTCTTCCAGAGAACCATAGTACTCAGTTATCTTTAGGATCTCCAAGGGACACTTCAATAGGAAAGCATATTCTGACACGCAAAGACAAACTGTGCTTTCCGGACAATAATAAAAACTCCTATAGTGCAAGCGACCCTGAAAATAGTAAAAATGGAAGGATTTGAGATTCATAATTTAGGAGTATGTGCTACATATATATATAACCAATGAGTTTTTGAGGTATTAGTCATACGTACGTCGATGGTAAGAGTCTTTAGATTTGGAGATTTCTTTATCAGCAATGGCAGAGGATACCAACAGAAGTTAGAAAGGGCAACAGATATATGAAGCAGCTTTTCGAACACTGGTAGTGCTTCACGGAAGACATAAAACATCTGAAACATGATGAGAAGAAGAATAATAAAAAATCAATAAAAGAGATATCTAGCTAGCAAGATTTTGATTCTTCATATACCTCCTCCACAACTAAATATGTACATATTATATTAATAAAAGAGAGAAGGAAAACGCTTACGTCCAATGACATAATAGAACACAAGTTGAGACTCTCAACGTCTTTTAACCCATTAAGCAGATTTATTGGATGAAAACGAGCCGTATCTGTTCTGTCCCAGTTGTAATGTTCTTCCGGACAAAGATGGAGCTTAGCCTCGACAAGGGAGCTGAAATCAACATTTAGATACCTTTTTGGAACGTAATCAGAGTAAAATAAGTAGGCAAGACTTGGAGTTTCAAAGCTAACGCTCTTAAAATCGGAGGCATCAAACGAACTCCACCCTCCACGTGTAATAGTAAGTCTTTTAAGGGTCGGACTTGACACAACGCGAGACCATCTCCAATGTTCCCAGTTGAGACAACGGATGGTTAGTTCCTCAAGCAAGGGGCAAGCACCAAGAAGCGTTTTGAACGCGCAACGACCAAACTCAAAGAACCCAACTTTATAAAGAGAGAGAGTCTTGAGCGATGGAAGGAAAACATTGGCAGGGAGAATGTCAATAGCAAAACCATACCCTAGTGTGAGTTCAGAAACTGTCTCGCAAGTGAAAATCTCAAAAGGCAGTGAATAGCCTTCTTTGTCGTTGATTTGCAGTTCAAGAGCCATGACACCAAGCTTGAGTACATGACATAGACACCGGTTGATGAGCTCATCATTCTTAACATGCGCAAACCATTTTAGAGAGAAATTCCTTACACGAGAAGTGGCTGGTAGAGCCAATACTCCATCGACAAAATCAGTGAAACTCTCTCCGTTTTTAAGCGAGCCATCAAAGTGAAGTTTATGTATGATGGTGAACAGATTCCGCCACTTTTTTGCGAGAACCGTCGTGAACGCAGCCTCCTTCGCCGAAAGGAAGGAACCGATGTGACAAATAATCTCGTCTGGTAGATTGCTGATTCTATCCATCCTTTATCTCAAACCCTACTTGATCAGTACTCACCCAAAAAAATATTAAAAAAAAAACAACTCCTTTGTAATCTTCAAAACCCTAACCCGTTTATTGGATCGCGCAAGTTTATATATTCGAGAGAGAGGCATTCACATGTGAGTAGAGGAGTTTATAAATGGGCCACAAGGTGGATTTGTCCAACAATTAGCCCTAAAACAGTACGTAGAGTTCTTGGGTTTATTTAGCTCTCTTGTGTCCCAAGCAATATCAGTCTTCAGGTTTATGCATGTCTTCAGGTTTTTTTTTAGATAACCATTGTTTTAAACAAGCAAAACGGAATGAAAAATAAATACATTTTCTGTGTTCGAAGAAAAATAAATACTTCAAATTGAAACATAGACTAGAAGAGCTTCCAGGACGACTGATCACTTGAGTAACAATTGCACCACTCTTCCTTGCAGGTTTGAGATTTTCGAGCTCTACGTCGAGCTCGACGATTAGTAAGACCTAAATGCTTATGAAGAAGACCGGAATGCTTTCCTCAAACGTTTGCTCTTTGGAAAAACTTTACTCTACAAGATGTATATGAAACATGAGTATTTGGAAACGTGAAAAAATAAGTCTCCGAAAACAGAGAAAACGTAAATTTGAGTCTCCGAAAAAACTTGCCTCTATCTCTAGCTTTCGCTCGGATAAGTTATCTTCAATAAGATCATAGATATAACCCTCCTGCTTGACAACGAGTGGAAAAAGGTTGTTCAAAATGGTTAGACAATGTATTGATACAAGGAGGGAGGGAGAGAGAGAGAGAGAGAAAGAGAGGATGCTTACTTCCTCTGCATGTTCTTCACTTGAGAGATGCTTCCTGAAATCATCAAGGCTTTTCAAATCACAGAAGCACAATGTGCAATTAAATATTCCGGAAGATTCACCCGTTTCACTGCACTTCCGAAGAAGGTGTTTTGTCTGTTCCAAAACTGTGGAAAAAGAAAGAAAAAAAAAAAGAAAAACTCTAGCTCAGAGAAAGCGTAATATAGTTTCAAACTAGATCAGTAATGGATGATGATGATGAGAGCACAAACACACAGACCTGCAAGTAAGCTATCGAGAAGCCACTCAGCAGAAGTGACCAGGACTGACATTTTGTAAGGCCTATATGAATAAGCCAGAAAAATGTTGTATTTACTCCCTTGTTGTAGCCCGGCAAGATCATCAGCCAAGACCTCTTCCACGTGATTCGATATGACCATCATTGTAGCCGGAGGAGGATTATTACCCCGCCATTCTATAAAATCTGAAAACATGCGCTTGTATATGACCTCTGTTTCCATAAAGAAAAAGCAGCATTTCACTTCAGTTAATTAAGAAGGATGATATACAGAACAAAAGCCCTAAAAATTTCAAACCAAATATGGGACTAACCGGAAACGGTATGCCCAACAGAGACTCCAGTGGAAGAGAGCGCTCGCAGGAGGTGATCAGGGGTTTGTTTGAAGTCGCCATAGGCTGTGATGGAGACGGGACCAGAGTAGCCAAGACTCTTGAACGCAGCTTCCATACTCGGACGGACCTGGCGAGCATCATAACCCTCAGGAATCGGACAGTCCATCATGTCCCACCACACTGCTATTTTAGCTGCCGCGTGTTCAGCCTTGGCCGCGTAGTTCTTTCCCCACTTCTTCGTTACAGAAGCAAGTTGTGCATACCCAGGGTTTATAATCTCCTGCTTGACAAACAACACAAATAGTTGGACTTGAAACAAGCACAGAGAGAGAGAGAGAGAGAGATGCTTATAATATGTATATTGCTCTTACTTCCAATGCATGGTTTTTACTAGCGAGATGCTTCCTGAAAATCTCCAGGCTTTGGCTATGGAAAGAGCACGTTTTGCAATGAAACATGGCACCCGTTTCACTGCGCTTGTAGTACTGAATAATGGTATCATCGGGTTGTTTATAATATTCTTCTAGTAATCTTTTCCAGCGCCACTCTTTACAAGTGCGCAGGGTTGAACTATATTCACTATTCACTGAATAAGCCACAAAAATGTTATATTTCGTGTGTTGTTGAAGCCGGATCAGATCCCAGGAGAAGACATATGCCACCTGATTGGATATGATCATCATTGAACCCGGAGCAGGATTTTGACCTCGCCATTCCAGCATATCCGTAAACATGCGTGAGCATATGCATCCTGTTTCAGTTATCAAGTTAAAACGGAATATATTTCTTGAAATTTTGATCTACCGTATCCATGCTATTATATATTTTGATAGTTTGAAATTTTTTTAAAAGCCCTCCTAAATTCCAGAGATGGATAACGAAATTGGGACTAACTGGAAACGGTATGTGCAACAGCGACTCCAGTGGAAGAGAGCCCTCGCAGGAGACGATTGGGGGTTTGTATTAGGTCGCCATAGGCAGTGATGGAGACAGGACCAGAGTAGCCTAGTTTCTTGAACGCCGCTTCTATGCTCGGACGGACCCGACCAGCATCATAACCCTCCGGAATCGGACAGTCCTTCATGTCCCACCACACCGCTATTTTAGCTGTCGCGTATTCAGCAGCCTTCGCCGCATCGCTCTCCCACATCCTCTAAACCCTTAACCAAATCGAGCACACAGACACAAATCAAGTTTGTACAGTGTTTATACCAAAACTAATGGGCCTATATGAAAGCCAGTGAAGGTGTGGGCTAACGAAATCGGATCTTTGACTTTTTAAAGTATATAACGTTTTAAGCTGATTTCCCTTTTTTAAGAGAAAAAACTTTTAAAAAAAACTCGACATATTTAACATTTACTAAAAAAACTAGGTGGTTAGCCCGCGCCTTGCGCGGGCGGAACTGTTTTAAAAGTATAATTATTATTTTCTATATCTTTTTATATGAAGTCGAGGTTTTCTTGTTTATAAATTATTTTTCTGAATTATTGTTGTGGGTGTGTTTAATTTTAATAGGATGTTCCATCATTTGTAAATTGGCTTATGAGAAAATAAAGAGAATTAGAACAACTATTTTGAAATATGTATGAAAAAAATAAAGCAAACCCAAAAAAATAAATATCATCCACAATTAAAAACTCAAAATGCTTACTAAATAAGTGTATGAAACTCACAAACCAATTGAACTTAAAAAATTCGAGTTCTTTATCTTCACATAATTGTTTTTTATCCTCTCTCATCGTTTTCCACATTTATCTCTCATTTATCTCTGATGTTTTCTTATTAGATTTCTTTCAATTTTCAATTTATTTTTTATTCCAATTTTTATTTTCTCAATTCCTCTTCCTTTTCTATGTCTTCTCTTACTTCTTATTCTTCTGCTTTTTTTTTGTCATGTCTTCCTTTTTTTTTGTGTTTTTCACATCTTTTCCGTATTTTCTTCTTCTTTTATTTCTTCTTCTTCATAATTACAATGATTAAAAAAATTATTTTGATAGTTTTGAAACTGCTTTAAGCTTAATCTCTAAAGTAATTATTATTTTTTACATTAAGTTAACAAATTATTTTAATTCTCTATTCTTCCTAAACGGTAATTTTTTTTTGTTTTGCTGAAATTGTTGCTTTTTCTTGTCGATTTGTATTTTTTTCGCAAGCGTGGATACAAAATCATAGTAATTTAGTAATAGAGAATAGGTGAACTATCTTTTTGTAGCTTTGATATCAAGTTCAGTTTCATCTCTATATTAGTCATTATGTATATATTAAATTTATGGATATATTTAATTTTTGTTCACCCTAGCCAAAATTTTCTCTCTGTTTAAAAGGAAATGTGTTTCTTTCATGTCGGTTCTTATATTTCTCGTTAGTGGTAGCACGAAATAACAACATTAGAGCATTGGTAAATAATCCCTTTAGTTGCTTTGATGCCAGATTAAGTTTCATATCTAAATTAGTCTAGAACTTTCTCCCTGTTTTACATGAATCATCTTTTATGACCTTGTCGGTTAATATTGTTTTGGCAAGTAGGGACTAAAAACTATGTTATTATAATGTAGATAAACAATCCTTTTGGTAGTTTTGATATTATGTTAAGTTTCATCTCTAAATCAGTCATTATTTATATATATTAAGTTTATGGACTATTTATTAATTTTTCATTCTCTCTAGCCAATAATCTCTCCCTGTTTTATAGGAATTATCTGTTATTCTTCGGTTCTTATCTTTCTCATAAGTGTGGGCACGAACTGATAATATTAGAGCATAAATAACAATTTGGTAGTTTGATTTTTCTTCTTTAACGAAATAAATATAATATGGACGGACAAACATATAATCTAAAGATATGACATAAACTGGTATGGTTATTGAAAAACGATCACACAATATAAGAAAACTTGGTAATAAAATCAGTTGATCAAAAGCATAAGATATCCGAATGAAACATAAACAAACAAAAAAAAGAATAAAAGTATAAAAAAGCCAAAAAAATATGAAAATAATTATCATATCGAAGAGACCAAAAACATTAATAGAGTTGCTAGTAATATGAAAAACCAAAAAACTGAAAAAAATTATCATATGGAAGAGACCAAAAACATTAATAGAGTTTCTAGTATCCAAAAACCAAAAAATATGAAAACAATTATCATATCGAAGAGACAAAAACATTAATATAGTAATATGATTTTTTTTTCATGGGTATAAGAACATTGATGCCTTTTTTTGAACCATAGTCGTTTCAGCTAATATTTTCAATTATAGTCTAAAAAACATTAAGAATTGTTACATATATGCGGGCAACAAACCCATCATGATTCTCAAGATATCTCTTCGAAGCCTTCTTGATCCCAAAATATTGTGGCGTTCCAGCTTATCCTTGAGAGGAATCTATCATCATATGAAGCTCGATACCATTTTCTCCCTGCGGAGCTATGTTTAAGTAATTAAGCAAGACAGAGCAAGCTAAATAATACAGATCAAACAACAAACACAATACAACCTAAGAAATATTATGTTTGTGTGTTGTTTATCTTCGTCGACCGAGTTATTACCTTTTTCTTTCCTCTTGAGTTCCTGATTTTTTAAATAACACAAAACAGAGAAGTTTACATTTAGTTACCGATGAAACATGCAACATGTGGAGATATATGTCGCAGCAACATCAAATCTATGAAGAAAGTTTACCAAATGAAAATCATAAAGGAAAGCATCTCTATTGTCTCCAACACAATTTATAAGAGCCACAACAACTCAAAAACTTCACAACCAGTCTATTTGAGATACCTTCTTTCATCTTATCCAGCGAAATAACTCTCAAAGCACAAAAAAGTCTGTAAAAGTTAATAGAATTATTACAAAAAAATTAGATAAGCCATGTCTACTAATATAAAGAAAACAAACCACAGACCAAAGATCTAAACGGTCCATAAAAAGGTCGAGGCTTCCTGAAAACGACCATCTTCTCAATTACTATAAATGGTCATCCAACTTTGTCTTTGTCAGACACCATTTCTTTGTCAGACACCATTTCCTTCCATAAACTCATATGCTCAAAGATGACTTCTGTGATGCGACACCTTTATGCAATCGCCAAAGAAATCCATTTTCTTCCTTTTTTAGTTCTATGAGTGCAGTCACCTAAACACAAAACATTTAGTTGAGGAATACTAACAAATTCAAATATGGCTTGATTTTATCATTTTAAGCGTTTTAACATTTAGTTGAGGAATACAAAAAAAATATAAATATGGAAAATAAGAGGTTCTTTATTCAGAGATAGCTAAAAAGATAGCAAGCTTTAAAGCATTTTTCTCTGACTGAAAGATGAAAAGACCGAGAGAGTGTGTTCATATGGTACCTCTGCAACTCTGCATTTAAATTTGAGTGACAGCTTTTAGTTGTCAAGCACGGAGAGAATACGACTGCGCTTACAGAAGGGATAAGTGTTTGATATGAGTTATTAGGTGTGGATATGTAATGTTTGAGTGAGGATCTCTCAAAAACAGACACAATCATAATAACTACCAAAGCATAAAAAAGGCATTAAGAGATAAAGCAAAGCCAATTATATCAACCGTGAATATGAGAAACAAAAGCAACAACAGTACATCCGGCATGTGTAGTTGTGAAAGAACAAACAATACAGAGTCTTACCACAAGACTGAGCAAAAGAGAAAACCGAAGCGAATGGTAACCAAAGAATCGATGCGAGCAGAAAAATCACGATAAGACTGAATCAAAAAGAGAAAAGAAGATAGGGGAGTTGAATATGGTGAGTAAAAAAAATTGGTACCTAACGATGATGTTCATCATCTTGAAGCATATAGTTAGTCATCTTGTACTCTTCGTCTTCCTCACGTGCCTTTGATGATTCCGGGTTAGTAAATATAGTCTGGATAGGGTGGTTGGAATGAAGAAATTTGGTTTTATGCGCTGAAAGAAGAGATTGAAAATATGTGTTGTAATTCAGCAGATTCAGAAGAACTAAATAAATCATATAGAGAAAGAAAACAGAAAAAGTAAACCATAAACCACAATAGCTGTGTGAATGTAATAATTGAGCAAGACTCTCACCACCGAATACAATATAGTCAAGCATATGCAAAGAAAACACTAATAAGAATAAACAAACAGATCAAAGGATAAAATATAATTTGTATCTCAGAAAGAGATACAGAATGCTAGCACAAGCCAGGGAAGACAAATAAACCTGCGAGCTTAATCCGAAGTACAATTTCTCTATATCAAGAAAATTGATGCTGCAAAAAGATGAAAGCAAATATTACCAAGACGAAACACAATAAAAGGAATAGCTAGAAGAAAAAAGAACAAAGTCGTTTACCACAGAAAACTTTAAACATTATGTGATCTCACAAGACCTAACAAAGGGCAATTTACCTTGAATGGCAAAAAATAATAGAGTACCGGCAGGTTCGCTTACAATAAAAAAAGGCGGCGAGATTTTAAAAGGTAAGTCAATTTTCCTGCAAAGTTTGACATAAATGGTTAGGCGTCATTCCCAAAGCAACGAATTACAAAAAAACAACAACAATATAATGATGCTTATATGTTTATAGTAACTTACTGATCTCTTCTTGTTTAGATAAATAGTCCGGGTGAAGCCCAGACCGACCAGTTTGAATCTTTTGCACGTTGGTCATGACTTCACTCTACTCGTGTTGCTGTGTTCCAAGCTTCCAATGATTTAATAAAGCTATGTGGTGTTGAGACCGGTTTATTAGGATTCATGTAACTGTATGGCTTGTATGTTGTTGTGTACCTTCAAGGATATAGAACAAAATTCAAAAAAATAACGAATGACTAAAACATAATGTAAAAGAAGATAGTTCTCATAGATTACTTGATCAGTTCTCTGTAACGTTACACAACAAAAATCTTAGGATCACCTAGAGCATGACTGATGGCCGCTACAAAAAAATTAACAAAAGTTTTAAGTAAAAAAACTATTCAACAATCAACTACCAAACAATTAAACTAACATACTCAAATAAACTATTGAGAACTAACATATACAAGTCATAAAAATTAACCACATGGACTTCTGACCAAAATAAAATAAAAATAACCACATGATCTTATATTTTCTTGAAGATCCCATTCCAACACGTCCGATCAAAGCTTCTTAGTAGACACCAACCACCGTAACGTGAAAAAATCAAAATACAATAAACTATCAATATAGAGATTATTGAAACAAAAATATAAGAATTGGGAACATTAAAAAGTGATTTAAAACAGTAATCAAGTAAACAGATCGGAAAAAAAAACTAAACAAAAAACCACAACATATCCAAATTAAAAAAAAAAGCCATAAAAGTCAAAGCCATAAAAATCTCATCAGAAGAGTTAAACTACACGATTAAATTTTGCTGCCTACAAACAAGCACATCCCATTAAAAAATGTGTAAATCACGTAGATGATTAAAGAGCAGGAATAAAAAGCAGGAAAGAATTAAATCTAATGCGAGAGAACTCAAAAATGCGTAAACTCAGAAATAAAAGTAAGAAGATGTTATCAATGTACAGTATAGGGTATATATAGGCTACGGTGGGGTATCTTTTATAGTGAGGATTTAGGGTTTTGTTTATATAATTGAAATGCGGCTATCTCTTTTTTTGATATTATCTGCAAAGTGTAATTTTTAATTTGACTTAATAACCGCGGGATATATATGATTTTTTCGTTTTTTTATATAATTTTTTATAAAAACTAATTTAAACAAATTTAAAAAGGGGTAAAAAGTAATTAGCCATCCTGAAATTGAATGAGAGAGCTTTAAACTAAAATTTTACTTTGCTTATAATATATTTTTTTGTTGCCAAAAACACTTAACATATTTTTGAGTGTTATTTTAATGTCCAAACATTCAAAAACCAAAAGTTTCATCGACTTATATCCATTGTAAATGTGCCACATATGTGCCCTGGTTGACCTGAAAATTAATTTCTTAGCCTGAATTGGTTTGCTTTGGACCGGTTTTCAAATATGATAAACCAAACCGAGGATAACACTGTTCGTCTCTCGCTTACAGTTAAGTTAAATTTTAGAGCTAAACCCATAAGCCCTCCGGCGAAAAAGTGTGGACTTTTGTTGTTAGATCCTTCAAATTTTTGCGAAATAATATATGTTTTCTAATCCATTGGAAATTTTGAATCCGTGAATCTTCATCTTCTGTGAAGATTGAGGAAAGTAAAAAAAGAGAGATGCAAAAGACGAAATTTCTAGATTGGTATTTGAAGATCGCAATTGGATCGGCAATTATCGGTGGAGGCATGGAATTCTTCATGATCAAGACTGGATTCTGTAATTTTCATTTTTTTTTGCATTTTACAAGTGGCGAATTCTGTTGGTTAAATCACTGGTTAGGTCAAGTAGATTCGAAATTTTGGGGCTTTTTTCTTTTTCTGAAGTAGCAACAATTGATTGATATGGTTGTTCTAGTGGACAGTTTAGATTTCATTGGTTTTGGATAATCTAGGATAGTATGGGCTTTTGGTTCAAGTCTGATCTTTTAGAATGCTTGCTTATTTAGGGAATTAATTTCATTGATTTTGTATAGAAATGTTAAACATTCATGGCAATATGTCCGAGGGAATTTGGGGGATTTGTTTTCCTATCTTATAAGACTGCTTTTCGAGGTTGAAGTTTCTTCCTTTAAAATAGAGTTGTAATCTTCATGTTCAGTTTAGGATTTAGGATTTTTCTCCGTGAAAGCTTTGATGAAATAGTTTTATTGCTAAACTTGCAGACGACAAGGTTACTGTATTAGAAGCAGAGAAACGAGCGTATGAAAATTCTCCTGAAGCTCAAGCCATGAGAGAAGCTCTTAATCCGTGGAGAAACAAGGACGCCGAAGCCACCAAAAGTCCATAAGATTAACGAAGAAGAAGAAACTATTCTCGTCCTTTCGCTCTCAAACTTGCAATTGCTGCTTCAGTTTCTTCTGTTTGAGATTTGAATTTTCATTTCGCCATTTTATCATATGCTAAATGTCTTCCCTTTTCCTTTTTTTGCACTTGGGCCATCTACTTGTTTCATATCTTTCTTTCATATCTGAAAGAAACTAGAAGATGATGATATATGGATAAAAGACATATTGTACCTCTTATTGAGGATGCCTCGTTCAACAATTGAGGGATCTCTCTTCAGAAGAAAAATATTTGAAATGTTATATGGATAAAGATATACAGTATGTGTTTTGAAATAGTTATAAATCAATAATGTAACATCTTACAATGAAATAACAACTACTGAGGTGTTGCTCAGAACGATTTTACAATACCAAGAGCAAAACACATGTTTGAGAATCTGAATCCATTCGAGTATTGGCTTCCTGAAGCTTCTCAATGGGTTCTCGTTGAGGCATTTGAATCTCGAGGCAAGCCCAATTGTGGTTAAGATAAGTCCAAGCTGTGCTAGTGAAGTCATGTTCTTGATTGAAGTAAGAGCTCAGACTCGAAAACCAATAATTTGCAGATGAGCTCAAGTATAACAACTTAACTAATGAGCACAAGTTTTCTCCGTGTCAGTGAGTTGAAAGAAAGATCCCAGCTAAGAGCCCCCAGTCATCAATCAATCTTCCATGAATCTCTGTTTGAATTTCCTTCTAGTCATCTGAGCCCATCTCGCAAAGATCTCTGCAGCAACAAACTTACCAGAGAACTTAGCCCTCTGTGACAATTCCTCAAATATCTCCGGTTGTCCTGCTCTGTGAAAGTCAGCAGCAAACTTGTTATAATCAATCAAAGGAGTTTTCATTCCTCTGTCAAGCATCTCCTCTAAGTACCTACACGCCTCTCTGGACTTCCCTTCACCTATAAGCCCTCTGATCAAAACCGTGTAGGAGTTATCGTCAGGACAAATCCCTTTCTTGACCATCTCGTCCCAAGCCGCTCTCCCCATCTCGTAGTTTCTCGCCATGAAGTAAGATTTCATTATCATGTTGAATGTGTGTATCGATGGCTCGATCCCGTTCTGGATCATCTTATTGTAGATCCTCGTGGCGTGTTCTGGCATTTTCCGACTCGCCATCAGTTTGATCAGAGCGTTGTAGGTTTTGCCATCCGGAGGATGTCCCTTTTCTTGCATCTCCTTGAGCAGTTCGTAAACCGTATCCAGCTTTTTCTGAGTCCCAAAACCGGTGATCAGACACGTGTAAACCGCAGCATCGGGTTGCAAACCGGAATCAACCATGTCATCGAAGTACTCAATGGCAGTTTCCATGCTCGACTGTTTGCAGAAGTCACGGATCATGATGGTATAGCTACGGACATTAGGACAAGGTCCCTTGGACTTCATGACATGGAACAGTTTGATCGCATCTGATTTTTTTCTGCTCCTCAACAAACCTTCAAGCATAACATTGTGAGCTACAATATCGGGTTTCAAGCCCTGATCAATCATATGGTTCCATATTCTAGCTGCTTCCATCAAGTTCTTCACACGGCACCAACCATTGAGCAGAACAGTGTAAGTCATGAGGTTTGGAGTAAACCTCTCTTTCAGCTTATCAAACAGAACCTGAGCTTCTTTTCCAAGCTTGGCCCTCCCAAGACTATCAAGCAAGCAATTGATCGTTTCGACACCGATTTTGAACTTGTACTTCTTCATCAACTCAAAGATGCCAACAGCTTTCTTCCTCTCTTTCGCAGCAGCGAAAGCTTTCATCGCGATAGTGAATGTATCCATCGTCAAAAGCCCTTTCGCACCCATCTCTTCAAGAACCGAAACCATCGTCTCGAACTGTCTAGTCTTTGCTAAAATACTCATCATGGAGTTATATGTTGTTGAATCATGAGCGAAACCTGGTTTCTCTGCAGCCCAGCAGAAGAACCTAAATGCAGGCTTCCTAGCATGTCGAAACCGTTCTAAAACCTCTACCATCAGATCATGCGATAAATCTACCTTCATTTCATCAAGAACAGCCTCCATGTTTCTATCTAACGCAAACAATTCATCAATCACTTTGCACACTCTCTCTACTTCTTCGGGATTAGTACTTGAACCAACACAGTTGACCCCAATTTCATCACCAACATCTTCTTCTTCTTCTTCTTCTTCTTCTTCATTATCGCATTCAGATTCAATTTCGCCATCACATCCATCATCAGAAGTAATACTAGATAAACCTCTAAAACCTATGCAGGCGTGTGTGCGAGGATGATAAGTAGAGGAACGAATAAGAAGAGAAAAGGGTGAAGAGCTAGCACAGGGAAATCCTACTTCCTCTCCTCCTCTCCTGCCGCCGCATATCACTGTCCCGCCGATTATGCGGCTTTGATCGAAAATGAATTCATTGGAATTCGATGAAGAAGAGCGAACGAGGAGGCATTGGATTCGGTTGGAGCTGAGAGGAGCTCTAGTGAAGCTTCTTCTCATGTAGAGATGTAGCCACGGAGGAGCAGCCATCGAAGCTCGACGGCGATTAGCAATGGCGAACTTGGTGAATAGCGGCTGGTTAACGGCGGAGCTAAATCAAAGAAAGCTTCTTCTTAGTTAGGCCCATTATGCCTTTTTGATTGGAAATCTCGAATGAAAAGCATCGTGACCCATTAAAGGCCCATTAATCTGATTACATGTTCATATTACCGTTTAGCCCTTGGGTCCACCAGGAGCATTAAAGCGCAAACGCAGAAAGAAGGTTGTCAATTTTTTTAGTTGGAAGTGGAAGGTATCTGTATGCATCTTATCTTCATTTTAGGGTCGTAATATTTCTCAAGTTTTTGTGCGGGGCCAATTATTTTGAGATATTATTTGCTTCAATCATACACTCCTTTTAGTTTACGTAATCCTTTTATACGTTAATGGATTAAACAAATCTGAAAGTCATGATCAGTCAACCAGTGTAACTTCAAGCCCTTGTGGTAAATGAGAAAAATTAGATTTTCAATCATTATTTACAATTATAGATTACTTTTGTTTTTTCTAGAAATTTCAGGAATTTTGGGTTCATAATATTACTTTCGAAAAGATCACTTAACACTTCAATATAAGGATAGAATGGAAGAACAATAAACAATATTGTTAGCTTCAATTCTACAAAATCTTCTATGATTGGTTATCAGTCAAACGTGGGTTTACATTCAAAAAGCTTTTAACTCTAACAAAATTTCAGCTGTGAGATTAGGGACCAAAAGGTGTACGTCTTTAAGCCTTTTGCATTTACAAGTACAACTAACTACTTCACAAAATCTAAAACTATATCTAAATTAAAATCCGTAACTCCAAAATGGGTTTTGGGTTTTGCCTAGCTACTCTTGTATAAATAGAAACATAATCTTCCATCAAGCCTTATTCATTAGATATCTCTTCTCCAGTAATTGAGAGCAGACACAAGAGTATTTTGTAGTAAATAAATGGAGGAAACGAAGGAGAGAAAGATTGTGGTAGCAGTGGACGAAAGCGAAGAGAGCATGGAAGCTCTCTCATGGAGTCTTGACAATCTTTTTCCATATGGTTCCAATAATACGCTCATCCTTCTCTACGTCAAGCCCCCTCTCCCCGTTTACTCTTCTATTGATGCCGCAGGTTAGTCTTGTTATTGCAAAAGATCTTTTAGTTCACTACCCTTTTAACTCGTTCGGGTTATAAAAAATTTTTGGTCGATTTTCAGGTTTTATAGTGACCGGAGATCCGGTTGCAGCCTTAAATAAATATGAACACGAGCTAGTAGAATCGGTCATGGCTCGATCTCAAACCGTGTACCAAGATTTTGAGTCCGATGTAAGCTTATTTATATTTCGTTTCGTTCAATATAAGTATCCAACCCGTTTAAAGCAGATTTGATCAAATTTATATGGAATCCAAATAGTTATGAGTTCATTTACTTGTTATCAATTAGTTTTGAAAAAAAAAAAATATTTTACTATATATTTTTCAATGTATAAGTATCAGTTGATATCATACCAAAAAAAACAAACATTGATTAGCGATATAACTTTTTCCCCAAGAAATTTGACGGATACAATGAAACGTAATTAATTAAATTTATTGTTAATGTGCAGATTAATATAGAGAGAAGAGTTGGACGTGGAGATGCAAAGGAGGTTATATGTAACGCAGTTCAGAAACTGAGGGCTGATATGTTAGTTATTGGCACACATGACTATGGCTTCTTCAAGAGGTAATTCTCTTATCTTTTTATCCTTAATTAATATGACGGAACATATCTTGATTTAATGGTTATTGATATAATTTATGTATGTTCCATTTGATAGGGCTTTGCTAGGCAGTGTAAGCGAGTATTGCGCCAAACGAGTGAAGTGTCCAGTGATTATCGTCAAGAAGAAGGCTCAAAACAATTGAGCTCGTAATTCTTATGATTGTACAAGTTCTTGAAAGTTATTGATGTAATTATGTAACAGTTGTATCAATTTCGTATGCATTTAAACCAGAAAAAAAAAAAAAAAGAAGTTAAGCCTAAATTGTACCGACGCCTTCGCCAAAAAATGTTTAATCATACATAGTCCGTTTTCATAAAGGGCCCGAAAGTATGTATTATTTACAATATTAAGACGAAATTAAAACGAAATTTACGAATAGTACTCAGTCGAATTGGAAACGACGCCGTCTGTAAAACGCGGATCTGCGGGAAATTTGTTGCTTATAAGATAATACCCTCTTCAATCTTTTATTGCTGTGGAAAATATCTCGCAAGAAGAAGAAGTGATGTTCCTCGTCGATTGGTTCTATGGAGTTCTCGCAACTCTCGGATTGTGGCAGAAGGAAGCGAAGATTTTGTTTCTCGGTCTCGACAACGCCGGAAAAACCACTTTGCTTCACATGTTAAAGGACGAGGTTCGTTTTCTTCTTCTTCGATCAGATCAGTAATCATCTCGTCTCTCATAGTGACTACGACCGATCAAAGTTTAAAGTCTCCGATCATCGTCTGATTTTGGATTCAGAGGCTAGTCCAGCATCAGCCGACACAGCATCCGACATCGGAAGAGCTTAGTATCGGGAAAATCAAGTTCAAAGCTTTCGATTTGGGAGGTCATCAGATTGCCCGTAGAGTCTGGAAGGACTATTATGCTAAGGTGTGACCTTTTTGTTTTCGTGTTATCGATAGAATTCTAGGTCAATCAATTATATATGTAGAACACTATGGTGATGTGAATCTTTGTGTGCTTGCGCCCACTCTGTTTCTGTGTTTCATATTCATTGTCTTTCTGTATGAAATTTTTGAAGTTGCTTACAGTCTCTTCCCTGTCACCAAGAAACAATAGTCTGAGATGATTTAGCAGAAGTGAAATCTCTAGATGAGAGCTTGAATTGTCAAGGTTATTGGTGTGTGGAGGTTTAACTCTAACTTAGGATTCGGGCAGAGAGCAAATCAGTGAAAAAAGCTTCATGCTATTGCGGCATGAGGTCCATTGATTGCATTCTGCTGGTTACACTTATACAGTAATCTGATGTGAATCTTGCTGTGTACTCCCTACTCTATTTTGTAGCAATTGTGCTAACCACTAATCGCTTATCTGACCAGTTCTTTTTGTCGGACGAATTAATATTTACGAAGCTGTTACAAGCTTCCCTGTTCCAAATTGCTTATCTGATTGCTGGTGGAATTTAGAGATCAAAAGAATTTGGTGTCAAACTATTACCATCTTCTTCAGGTTTGTAACATTATTGTCTCTCGTTCTATTAGGTCGATGCGGTGGTTTACCTGGTGGATGCATATGACAAGGAGAGGTTTGCAGAATCAAAGAAGGAACTTGACGCACTTCTCTCAGATGAATCCCTAGCAAATGTCCCGTTCCTCGTTCTTGGAAACAAAATCGACATTCCCTATGCTGCATCAGAAGACGAGCTGCGTTATCATCTAGGCCTAACCAATTTCACCACCGGGAAAGGTAAAGTGAATCTAGCAGGAACAAATGTTCGTCCTCTTGAGGTCTTCATGTGCAGCATTGTCAGGAAGATGGGCTACGGCGAAGGTTTCAAATGGGTCTCTCAATATATCGACTAAGATCAATGTATGTCTGATATGTGGCTACGATTCCAAGTTGTAAAACGATTTACCATGTAAATGTGTGTATAACTGTTTATATTTTTGTATACAATCAAGACTTTTAAACTCAAAATCGAATGGAGTGTGTGAACCCAAGTTTGGATGTGACTGTGTAAACTGTGTGGGTCTAAGGCAATGGCTGTCTCTGAGCTTTTCTCGAAAAATTGAAAGATGAAGATGAAGACTTGACTTCAATAATAATGTATTATGTAGAAAAAGCCCATGTGAATCGAGGTTGACATTTAACAATAACAATGTCCTACAATGAAGGAAGACCAACCAATTTGACATACAGATGTACTATAATGTGTGTTCTTACATACTTTTTGTTTTGCATGTGTTATGTCTACTTGTGAGCTTATCATTTGGTTTCTTTTTCGTCTTTTTAGGCACTGGGAATAACAAAACAAACAAAAGTGTGGATAACCATGTATTTTTTATTTTTTTAAATAGGTGAACATGATTTGATTTCATGCTGTGTGACATGATTTTTGTTAAAGCGTTGGCTTTACTTAAGCCCTGGGTGTTAACATCACTGGGTATAGCTTCGTATGGCTTTTGTGGTTTGTCAATGTAAATCGTTACAATATAAATAAAAATAAAAATAGATGAGAGATAACCAGAAAAGGAAAAATACTCAGGCACTCGCACATAATGCGTTCTTAATCTTAAGAATAGTCAGTCTCCAGGCAACGTTCAAGTCGGAACGCAATAGCGTATCAGTGCTAATAGCCTAATAGATTATATTTTGCGATTCATCTTTTTCTGTTGTCCAGATTTTGCAACTCGTGCACGCTCCCCCATATAGTCGTAAGAATTTACTAATATTTCTACATCATATCTGGATTTGATTTACAAAGGAATGCAAAATCAAGTTGATTATTGGAAGGTAAGTTTATCAGAAATCTCTAAACTCAAATATATGCTTATAATAAACCTTTATCAACAATTTTTTGCAATTATTTGAATACTTTCACTTTTTGGAACATTTTCAGAGTCTCTCCTTTGGATCGATTCTTGTCTACGCGATGTCGTGGCCAAAAGTAAGATAAAAATATATTATTACTACAGTATATGATATACCGGTTCGAAATAATCGTTAGTTTTTAATTACTTTTCCTTTGTGACGACGATTTTAAGGCTGTCTTTTTATTATTCGCAACTTTTCATCAAAGCACAGCCGAGCTGGAGACTGGTCCTATTTCCCCTCTCTTTTTCCATATTCTCTTCTTATAATTTCCTTATCAATTAGTATCAACTATCTCCTAATGTTTTTTTTTTCTTTTTTTTTCTTTTTTTCCTTTTCCGAGTTTTAGTTTAGCAGTGTGTATATGCTGTAATGAAATTTTAATATTGATCACCACTCTATAGATCTCTAATGTACAAAAAAAAAAAAAAAAAAAAACTATCGAGCTGAGTTGGTTTTTGGGGTTAAGGGATGCACATGGATCACTCATTCCCACGTGATATTCTAAGCCAAGAACACGTGCCGCCCTCTGAATTCTCTCTGACTTTTGTTTGATTGGTTTCAGTTTTTGTTCAAAACCCGAAGCTTTTGGATCAAAAAGAGGTCTCTATCGTCTGAATTTGAGCCTAACTAGATGATTGGTTTGATGCCCAACGCAATATTCTCTATTTTTATTACTCATTTTTTGAAATTAAACAATGACGTCCACTACACAACTATTTAAAAATATGAACAAAATGTTGTTAACAATAGATTCTAAACTATCGCAAGAAAAGAAAAATCACAATATTAATATATGCGCGAATTTTGACACTGAATTATGTGGTTCTAATATATAAAAACCCATGTCTTGGTAAAAGTCTCCAATAGACAATGCTATTGCTACCCATCATGTTGCAAAGTCCTAACACCCAATAATGTGCGCAGTGTAAAAAATGATAAGTAAAGTATTTTTGGACGTCACCTTGAAGAAATCTTAATATTATACATTTAGACGAATTGAAAAATAATTAACTATAGTACTTTGGGTTTTGTTGGAAATTGCATTCATTTAATTTATAACTTCCAAGGTACTATTTAAACATTAAATTTAGAAAATAAGACTTAAAATTAGATGATAGAAGGGATTTAACGAAGTACATATATGAATACATGTTATGAACATATATTCTTACAAGAATGTAAATAATTGTATATGATATCAAAAACATCAATGATCAACCCACCTTTATCAATAACCCCAAGAAGTGATCAGTTGGAAACTAATTGACTCGCAAAAAAGATTAAAGTATACGAAAGTATATAAAACTATTCAATTTCGAAACCAAAGAGTATGATCATATAATTTTTATTTATTTATAAATACTATTATTCTTTTATTTTCGTCAAAAAAAAAGTATTCATGACTAATTGACTATATACCTATTATTTATGTGTATGTATGGATCATGAAGATAAGTATGTAGATATTAATATATTATATTGGCAAATCTATGTATACGTCGTCATGACTCGCGATATGCTTCTTGAGATGCTAACATGTTTATAGAATGGGGACCGTTACCCTTAACTTGACCCACTTTCTAAACCAGGGATTTAATTTATACTACTAGTTAATCCCGTAATTGTCTTTGTAGTGTTTGTTAACTATATATATTAAGAAAAACAGAGATTCGCTAGGTCGTTAAGTCAAGCCATCCTGGCATAGTGGCATATAATCGTCTCAGCCAATGGCATTGTGTTTGTGTATATATGTACCGTAATGTGACTTATGTCATCAATTATGTAGTGTTGGAGATTGTTTTTAAGTTTATAGCACGTATTTGATTAAACAAAAAGAAGTTTATAAGCACGTATACATATAAAACATGCACATATATGATATATATGAATTTCTTCTTCTCAACTAGTTCAATGTCAAAAGAAATTCCAATCAAAACATTAATTTATATACAATCGAATGGAGTGTGATTTTTCAAAGAATATAGAATCGTAGAATCAAAAGAAATCACCCCTTTAACTCTAGTAAAAATGTATTTATTTAATAGAAATATATTATTCAAGGGAAAACTGTATCATAATAATTAGTTTTAGTTATGCGATGGAAAATAGAAAAATGTAATGCATAAATAAAAGATCGAATTTTATATTTCTGAATGATTAATAATATATAAGGCTATCATTTGTAGCCGATACACACACATTTTGCCTATACGTCCAAAAAAATGTTGAAGGAGGTTGTACCTATAATATAATCATTTTTCAGCTGCATCATTATTATTGTTGTTCTAATTATTCTGAAAAAATACAGGTCGCAATAATAAAGGCTAACCGTCCCTTGCCTTACTACAACAATAATATAAACAATCCTCAGGGAAAAAAAAGGTTAGATATTTATTTGACATTGCATATTGATTTCAGACATATATCTTGCTAGCTGCTACATATATGTTGACCTTGCATTGCTTTTGGACCAAACATAAATTCGACATGATTAGTAATAGCATTATGTTTTGTGTTGTTTTCTTATAAATATTACAATACGTACCCCGGCTAAATTAAGTACGTATTTTGACGATGGTATAAAATCAGAAAAGCTAAATATGTATCCACTAATAATTGGAGGATAACATGTATCGAGAAGTGATTGAAACTCGTTTATGGTTCATCAAAGCTCTAACATGCACTACTATGAAAATCTAACATGGCCAACATCTCATTATGATCAATATGATAGTCCCATTCTAAAAATTCATTTTTGGCAAACAATAATTGCCAGGGAATCTAGCGAAGAAAACAAAACTTGAAGTATATAGTAAGAAATAATCGAACATGATTACTGAAGAGATGGGTGATGAAATAGTGCAATCATTCGTCTTATCTCATCAACAATATATGACAAATTCACAATGATGTATATAGATTTAGGTAAAAGTATATTACTATTGCATATGAAAGGGGCTAGTAAGGTTAAGAGTAATAATTACAAGAGATATGATTGAGAATCTAAAATAAACATGGGATTATCTATTAGACCAGCAAAGTAATTTCAAGAGATATGATTTTTCATCAAAAAATTACCAGAGATATGATTTTTAGACAAACACGAGATTGATTATGGCTAATGAATAATATGAAATATGTATAATTTACTTAAACAGAGAATATGTAAAAGGGAAATGGTGCCAGCTATTAATTAGAAGGAGGATCAAAACTTTCTCTCAGGTCAAAGCTGTCCTCTCTCTCTCCTATACTCCTCTGTTTCCTTCTCTCTCCTTTTCTCTCTGTTTCTTTATAAGCACTTCTCTCTCTTTTCTAAAATCTTGGAGGAGAAAACGCAAAGAATTTTGGGAGAAGAGTGATAAAAACAAAAACAAAAATCGATTTTTTGGATAGTCTGATCTATTGACCCAATCAGCAAATCAAAACCCTTTTTTACAGAAGTTTACCTCTGCAACAATGGCTGTTTATCCTCTCCGTGACGGCGGCAAGAAGCATTGGTGGTTCACACACAAGAAGGTAAATAAAACTTCCCAATCATCAAACTTTATGAAATTTCTCAATCATCTCTTTAATGAACATCGACTAGTCACTAAATCAACATTCTCATTTTTTTGTTTTCAATCTTTCAGCTTGTTGATAAATACATTAAGGACGCAACGTCTCTAATGGCGAGTGAGGACCAAACAGCCGCCGCTTCAGCCATTCATATACTTGACGCCGCTTTATCAATCTCGCCGAGTTTGGAAATTGCGTTAGAACTTAAAGCCAGAGCTTTGCTCTTTCTTCGTCGCTTCAAGGACGTGGCTAATATGCTTCAAGATTACATTCCAAGCCTCAAGCTCGCCGTGAACGACGAAGACAGATCCGTTTTATCCGACGGCTCTTACTCTTCCTCCTCCTCCGCTCAACTCTCACGGAAGCTTCTCTCTCCGGGCCGCGACTCCTCCTCCACCTCTTTCAAGTGCTTCTCTCTTTCTGACTTGAAGAAGAAAGTAATGGCAGGGATTTGTAAAACTTTCGATAAAGAAAAACAATGGCGGTAAAATCCTTTTCCCCTCTCAAATATTCCTCGTTTTCAGTAAATTAAAGGTTTGATTTTTAAGTAAAAAGTGTGAGTGATGAATTACAAGTTTCTGATTGGTATTAGTCGGAATTGCAAAATTAATACAATCTTCAGTGATTTTACAGAGTGACCAAACTGAGTTTAATTATGAAAATAATATTCTTTATTTTTTTTTTGTTCAAAATTTTCAGATATGTAGTTTTGGGACAAGCTTGTTGCCACCTAGGACTAATGGAGGACGCACTGGTTCTTCTTCAAACCGCAAAACGCCTTGCAACCGCCGAGTTTCGTCGTCAGAGTATATGCTGGTCTGATGATAGCTTCTCTCTCCTTCTCTCCGACTCATCATCCTCTTCTCCTCCACGCAAAGTCACCGAATGCGAAACCGTCTCTCGCCTTCTCGCCCACACAAAACTCCTCCTCCGCCGTCGCGCCGCCGCATTCGCTGCTTTTGACGCTGGCCATTTCTCCGACTCGATCCGCCACTTCTCCAAAATCCTCGACGGCCGTCGTCGCCCGGCGCCGCAAGGATTCCTCGCCGATTGTTATATGCATCGCGCCGCCGCTTACAGATCCGCCGGAAAAATCGCGGAGGCGATCGCCGATTGCAACAAAACCTTAGCTCTTGAGCCGTCGTGCATCCACGCGTTAGAGACAAGAGCCGCGCTTTTGGAAACGGTTCGCTGTTTACCGGATTCGCTTCACGATTTAGAGCACTTGAGGATTCTCTACAACACGATCTTACGAGACCGGAAACTTCCCGGACCGCCGTGGAAACGGCACAATGTGAAATACAGAGAAATCCCGGGAAAATTGTGCGTTTTGACGGCAAAGTCGAAGTTTTTGAAAGGAAAAATCGCGAATGGAGAAATTGGGAATGCGGATTACTACGGATTGATCGGAGTAAGACGCGGATGCACGAGATCGGAGCTCGATAGAGCGAATCTCTTGTTGTGTCTCAGACATAAACCTGATAAGGCTTTGTCGTTCATCGAACGTTGCGACTTCTCCGATCATAACGAGATTGATTCCGCTAAAGATCGAGCGAGGATGTCTTCCTTGTTGCTTTACCGTTTGATTCAGAAAGGTTATTCCGTTTTGACGGCAACAGTAGTGGAGGAGGAACAGAGGAAGAAGACGAAGATGTTGACGCAAAAGTCAGCGCAAACGGTTGGAGAACACGAACCGGTTGAAAAACCTGGTTCAATAAATATAAACGGTTTCTCAGAAATAAAACCGGGAAATTCAAGCGCGTATCAAGGAGTTTTCTGCCGAGATCTAGCCGCGGTTGGGAATTTACTATCTAGGACCGGTTTTAACCAACCGATTCCAATGAAATACGAAGCCCTCAGTTGTTAAATATTAACCGAGAAAAAATACGAACCGATTTGTGGAAACGACACCGTTTCGGGACGAGTGAAAAATCAATGACCGTCTATGTATAATGCACGTAAGAATGAATTCCACTCGAATTTTTGGTCACTTGAAATATTCGCCTCCTCTTTCTTGTTTCACCTATCTTTACTTATTCAGAGATAATGCTACATTGCTTCGGATGTAATTTGTGTCGGATTAAATTAGAATTACCACTATATTATTATTTTTTGACACAACACACATGAATACTAATCGTATAGTTTCAAATGTTGATGTTCCTCTAAGATTTGTCCGATCAAATTGGATAAACAGAGTCTGACAAAACAAATTAATATTCCGAGGAATCTTATCTACATTGTTTGGCTGCTTTATTATGTGGTATACTCGTATGGTTTAAATTAGTGAAATTTATTAAATAATGATACTATATATTAACTAGTAGATGAAAGGTTGGTGGGTATTATTCAATTGGTATAAGAATAAGTTTATTATATTAGGAATTTACTTCGCTTTGCTCAAGTATTCTTCCTAGCTAGATTTTTTTAAAAATGATAGAGAAAGCTCTTAAAACCTGCCATGCAATTATTTATCTGCCATTTTTCACATTGGGGTTTCAGAATAATCACTGAACGCCACAGGGAATACTATGCAACATATCTATTAAACTAACATCAGCATCTCCCTCTCGTATATATAAAACGATACATACACGCACAGATATTTTGACTACGACCAGTCACTATACATATTTGACTTGTCATTTTAAATTCCGAAATTTGGTGAAATATGTAAACAAAACCAAGGACAACTCCTCCCCTCTCAGATATTTAATCTTCACTAATACGTGCTCTTGGAGTTTTATTTTAAATGACTCGATAATATACGTCAAAATTCATTTTGTTTGTTATAGTCAATAGCTATGTCCTGATAATTTCATCGTAAACGAATTGGTTCATTTGAGCATGAGTTGGATGATTGTGGACAAATTAGCATACATGATGTGAAAATGAGAAAAGTAAGAAATTGAAGGGGAAAATTTGAAATAAAAAGAAAGCACGTGATGTATAGGATGTTGGAGACATTGGAAAGAGGATCAGTCGTGGCCAGGTATATGTATATGATGATGTCAGTGCGTATTCCATGTGAGCCTATCATGTGTACTTAATTACTTATTATTATTTTGTTTACTATATTTAATTTTTGCTGGTACTTGAAAAATTTGAACAAAAGATATATTTAAACAGGCGATAAAGTAAGGACTGATATAAAAAACAGTAAGGTATTAGACTAGCCTTTAGTCATAGGAGTAAAGATGGAGTATTTCATTTTTCATGATATATAACGAATTTCTAGCCAACAATGAGAAAATCAGTTCACGAAGCTAATAACTACACTAATGATTTCACATTTTGCTACAGACAATGATTAATTTTTATCTTTGAACCTATGAATTTACTGACAAATAGCATAATATTTTAGTATTTGGTTTTTATTTTTGTTCGCGCATGTATATATGGATATAATAAAAAAAAACTCGACGACCCTTGCATTGCATCAAAACATAAAAAGAGATGATTTTCTAGATTAAAAGATTTACAAGTTAGTGTTTCATCAAGCAAATGACGCCATTTATTTATGATCTATGTTCCTAAGTTATTATGTAGAGGTTGATCAATCTAATTTGCATCAAACTCTTGGTTAATGAAATAATGCTGTTAAGAAAAAAAAAAAAGCGTGATGGACCGAAAACTTATTAGTTTGTTATAATTTTGGGGCCTAAATCTTACTTCTCTGGCCCAATATATATTGCAGAAAAGAAATCACAAAACGAGTTGAAAAATATAAATTTCTGCGGCATGCAGCTTGTTGGTTCGGTCATCGGTGAACTATGTGCGGCGTTTAATAAAGATATATAAGAAGTTGACATTAATATCCCCAAGATCTGCGTTATGTTGGTTCGGTGTACTTTTAAATGCTGGGGGTACTTTTGTAAACGGAGATGGCTACCTACTCAAAGTCGACGTGAACAAAACGTGTGCGCGTCTTGTGTCTGTCTTTGAAGACTCTCAGCGATAATTTTCGAGAAGAGTAATCGGAAAAACCATCGGCGATGGGTTGGCTGACGAGATTTCTAGCAGCGGTGGCGTTTTTAGCCGCCGGAATTATATTCTCACCGGAGACATTCGGATCGCTGTCGAAAGGCGAGAATTCGGCGAAGCTTTTGATCTTCCTGAAGCTATCTCATCTACTCAGCTTCGCTACAGCTTGGGGCGCGGCTCTCTGGGCTACCTTCATCGGCGGAATCATCATGTTCAAGTGCACTTCTATTCTCTAAATCAAATTTAATCGAATAAAAAAACGAATTCTATCCGATCATCTTCTTCAATTTCGTTGAATTGGGAAATTAGGTTCTGTGTGAAGTGTGATTCCGTGTTTTTGATTGATTAGGAATTTACCGAGGCATCAGTTTGGTAATCTTCAGAGCAAGATGTTTCCAGCGTATTTCACTCTGGTTGGTTCTTGCTGCGCAATTTCACTGTCTGCTTTTGGGTATTTACATCCATGGAAGTCATCTTCTGCTGTGGAGAAGTATCAGCTAGGGTTTCTTCTATCGGCTTTTGCTTTCAATCTCACCAATTTGCTTGTGTTCACTCCCATGACCATCGATGTAAGTTGTACACAAACACCATCTTCAGTCCTTTCCTGTGAACCAATGGTCTCTCTGTCTGTCTGTGATGTAGATGATGAAGCAAAGGCACAAAGTAGAGAGAGAAAACAACATTGGAGATGAGGTTGGGTGGTCTAAGAACAGAGAAAAGGCAAAGACTATCCCCAAGTTAGCTGCAATGAACAAGAAGTTTGGAATGATTCACGGCTTATCATCGCTAGCTAACATCTTTTCATTTGGAAGCCTCGCTATGCATTCCTGGTATCTTGCAGGGAAGATGGATCTCTAAGTTTCTCTCTTTTACTCATCTCTCTCTCCCCGTAGATTCTTGTCACAAAGCTTTTATGCCCCTTTAATGAATAAATCTCTCGCATTTTATTTGCCAACTATATCAGTACGAGAAGACTCCCTACGTATTTCACTGAAATCTTGAAATCTTGAAAGAATCTTGAATAAATCTCTCGCTTTTTTTGGTGCCCTCTTATACACTTTTAGTTCCTCCTTCTCTGAAATAATTGATGTGTGAGTTGTATTACAGAATAATAAGCTTAAGTTTCACTTGAAGAAACTAAAATGTGCTTGTGAGTGAAATATTACACCATAGACACTCATGATTAACAATCTAATTGGGAGAAAGAAGATGATCACTAGTTGACTACTCCTTGATGCGACAAATCTAGCTATGAGCTTCAAGGAATCTTTCCCAGTACGTATAATGTTTACAACAAGGAACTTGGCCTGCCATTGATCCCGCTCACCCTTGATCTGCTTCAGCTCTTTCCTGATCACGTGCCTCAATGCTTTCAGGTAAGAGCTCATGTCATGGTTTCTTTTGATTTTTCCTTCAGACCCATAAGACCAACGATCGCTGAGAATCTCGAGAGGGTGTGGTGAATTAAAGAAGACGCTCTTTGCAGCCCTTAGTCCTTTTTCTGTTTCGTCGGTATCCTTCGATGTTAAGACATAGAGACCACTTCCTGGAGGAAGCAGAGGGTGTGGGGGAGAGAATCTCTCGGATGGTTGCAGAATTAGAAGCTTTCCCATTGGAGAATACAATAAATTCTGCAGAATTAAAAACAAAAACAAACAGGGTAAGCCAAGAAGCAACGATCTGAAGCAAACAGCTTAAGATATCTTTCACATTACCTGGTTATTCAGACAAGGATGGTTCCGGAAGTTTCTGTTCAATGCCTTGAGAAGCTTTGCAGCTCGGTCTGGGTAATTGCAGGAGAATGCTCGGGGTACAATATCTCTATGCATCGAGATTCCAAGAAGATGACTCTTAGGCAATCCCAGTTTCTGAAGAAGCCTATCGCCTCCGCACATGATGCAAGGTGAACCAAAGGTGATCACCGGAAGCAGAGAAGAAGCCGGGACTTGACCTCGGATCAGAAGCATGAGGTTCACTAACAATGACAAGCTTCCTCCTAGAGAATGTCCGCTAAACCGAAGAAAAGCACGGTTCTTGCCACGTGAATTGAGGTGGGCGTGAACTTCCGGTAACATCTGTTCGTATATTCCTTTTGCAGCTTCGTATATGCCTCTGTGAACAGGCACATCAAGCTCCTCGAAAGGGACTGGCTCGAATAGAAGGTTAGCTTGCCATGAGGCCAATGAGTCTGAACCCTGTTAAGATGATTGAACCTTCTTAATTAAGCTTATCTTTTGGCAAATCTCAAGACCATGAAAGACTAACCACAGAGAAAAAATTACCTGAATAAAGAAGAACCGTGTGCCACTTTTATCATCGTCGCATATGAACCACTCACAAGGCGGTGAACGGTTTGATTTCAGATCATCCGCGACCGCCTGCTTGGCTTCCTCTTTCGCTGCCACAACGGCTGTAACCGAATCAGCAGTGGCCATCAGAGATGCTTCGTTCTCTTGACGTTTAGAGGATCCAAAAGGAAGCACAGTTTTTGAATGGGAAAAGAGACGAGATGCTGCGGAAGCAGCTATTCTGTAAGCCACAGCTGGGTTAATGAGCTTCTTCTCCTCCTCCTCCTTCTCGCCATTGTTATTATCCTCCTGTTGATCAGAAGAAACCCTAAGACTGATCCTCTTCTCAATTGAGGAAGTCACAAATCTCAGTTTCTGATATTTCAACAGATTCTCAGGCTGTAACAACGAAAACGAGTCAAAAACAAAGAATCAGAAACACAGAGTCGAGGTTTTGTTTCAATATCTTCAGGTCACCTTGATTTTAGGGATTGAATAAGCCAAATTTCCCAAATATGACAATTTCGCAAACATCTGTGCATCATCCAGAGGAATTTTCATGAGCATCTTCGAGAAGTGTTCTCTATCAAACACAATCTCCTCCTTTTCTTCCTCTTCGTCATCGATCCTGCAGAAATCGCATTCGTCGCATAAGTCGTCCTTGTTCGATTCCGTAACTTCGTCTTCCTCCTCTCCACCACCACCTCCTGATCGTTGCCGCTTCCCTTTCCAGATTGACCCAACCTCCAGAATCCTCAAAACCCAGTTTCCGCTTCGCTCCTCTCTCTCCGACGAAATGGCGTCGTCTCTCACCGTTTCCTTCCTTCCCTTCCCGATCCGCAGAAACTCAAGCGGACGACGTGAAACCCAAGGCGGCAAAGATCCAGTCGCTGGTTTCTCCTCCACAGAGCCTCCGATCGCGCGAATCAGCGACGGTCCCACCGGAATTTTCGGAAATACTCCTTGCACCGACATTTTTAAGAAAACACCGTCCATAATAACCTTCTTCGTTTATGTTACAATGACTATAAATCCCTATATACATACGTTACGTATACGTATCCTTATACGAGTGGCGGAATTTTCCGGCGTTAGCGTGCAAGTTTGGATGAATCTGTCGTCGATTTTGGTCTCTTCTCAGCCTCCTCCTCCGATCAATCTTACTTTGACAGAGATGACTCTCAACCCACACACACGTTATATATGTATGTATTTCGTATACATATGTAGAAAAGCAGGTGAACGAACTTTAACACGCCTTAATGCGGCGTAAATTTAATTGGTTTTAAGGTTTAATTATGATTAAGGGTTGGGATCTTTCTCGGTGGATCGGTTGGGACACGTGGAAGGTGAAGAAGCGTCTAAGAGCCAGACTCTCCCACGTTTCTTGGAACAAACCAGCTGCTGTATATTTATTTAGTTGGACTTTTCATCACAACAACTAAAACCTACCTTTGTCGCCAAATAAATAAAATTCGAAATACAAAACTCTTAATTTTACTATTTTCTTAACTCAATTTTGTTCTGTAAACTCAACTTCGGAGGGATTTGCAGTTTTATCCCTTTCGCATCAATGGAGGTTTCACTCGTCCTAATGTGTTATTCAATTTCTCGAATAATTCATAAATTTCAAAAGAGGGCATTTTGTACCATATTTTTTCTAAATAGAAGAAAATGTAGCTCGTAAGTACTTATGAACTCTTCTGTAATAAAAAATATTTTTGATTGATTCAACTATAACTAGCACACTGCACACCAAAAAAGTATTGGAAACAGAAGTCACAGAAGTAATCCAAAACCTAGACGATTCATAAATATGCACTAATTTGATTAACAAAAGCAAAAAGAAACTAAACAAAAAAAAAAGACAATTTGATCAAAACCAACTCGTGGCTTTTCTCATCTTCCTCTTTGTCTCTCCTTTTTTTTTTCTATATTAAGAACCTAGTCATGTTACATTAGGACCATCACAAGTTCTTTTTGAAACCCCAAACTTCTAGAGAGAGAGCGACAGAGAGAGAAAAAGAGAGAGGAGTACTAAGCGAAGACTTCTTTAATCTTCTTCTTCTGATCCTCAGTAAGAGAAGAAGGAAACAAAACCTCAAAAGTGACAAAGAGGTTGCCTTTCTTTGTGCTGTAATGAAGTGGCATCCCTTCTCCTTTGAACTTCTTCACTTCTTTAGGCTTTGTAATTCCCTATGTCACAATATTCAAACCCCCCCCAAAGAAAAACCCATTAAATCATAAAAGGATCAATCGAGTGTTATGTGTGTAGAGAATGCTAGTGTTACCTTAGAACTGATGTCAACTTCGTGATCATCCAAGTGTTTGAATGATTTCTCAAATCCAACTAGCGCCTCAACCTGAAGGGAGATTAAAGTGGAATCAATCAATAAATAAATAAATACACAAGATGTTTGTGCAATTTATTTACCAGTGTAATGTTGACGGTCATGTGTAGATCGTTGCCATCTCTCCGGAAGCGGGCATGTGGTGCAGTTTTTATCCGGAACTGTCAAATATACAATAATGGTTAATTCTCTGATCTTGAAATTTGGTGAAATCAAGGATAAGGAAACTTAGGGAAGCAACTAACCTTAAGGTCACCAGGTTCGCCGTCGAGAATGGGTTCACCATCTTCATAAAAAGACACTTCCTGAAAGGGGAAATCGATAAGCTCACGGTGAAATGTGGTGTCTAAGGTTTACAATAAGGGAGTAGAGTTTTAAGACTTACTTCTCCGTCTTTCATTCCTTTCTCGATATCAACCGTGACAAAGTATCCCTCCCGTTCGTACTTGACATTGGGGCATTGGTCACAGACCTTCAAAGAACCAGACGATTATGTTTTAAACAGGTGAGCATGATATTGAACTGAAGAGGATGATTTGAGAGATTTTAATAGATCTGCCTCACCTGCTCTGTCATCTGTTGGAACATTCCAGGACCGATTTGTCTGTGATAAACCTCATTCCTGCAGTTGCACTTTCTCTTTCCAGGAGCTGGTTTTATGACATTCTTCTCCCTCCATACCTGATAATTTATCGTAGGACACCACACTCTTTCAGAAACCAAAACTTAAGGCAAGTTCTTTCATACATATTTCCTCCACAACCAATCTATTCTAACCTAACCATCTCTCAAACGTAAATAATGACTGAATGACACTTATAAATTATGTTCATTAATAATGACAATAGTAACATCCTGATAGACAGGGACCTTTAACATACCTTCACAGAGCCTCCCATGTATAGATCTTCCAGAGTCGCCTCAAGTTCCACAATCACGTCATCACCCTTGACAACCTTCTCTTCTTCCTCCATCGAACCTCCACCAAAAAACCTAATAGGCACATTAATAATCTCTGCACATTAATCTGTTACATTTTTTTACACATATGTAACACATTATCAAAATTTAGGAACTATTCGCATTACAGTAATTACCATTAACATTACCAAATTTATTGGTATCCACTATCCATACATAAAAAAGCCAGTTCACTTCTACCCTAAGGATGGGTTAGAAAAGATAAAACCTCTCAGACAAGCGTTTTTCAAAACCCAAACTCAGGTGCTTGAAAAACACCTTAACCACTGTTTTCTGTTCCATGATTCACAGAATCTGATAACCCTGAATCTTATACCACGAGTAGGAACCTAAAGAGTAATCTTCTAATTAACGAGCAAGATTACTCGGATAAAATGTCAATAACATTGGTCTTTATTCCACTAATAATTCCTCTAATGCTTACCATCTTAAAAAAAAAAGAGAAACTTACTGGCTAAATATATCCTGCATATTCATGCCCCCTCCTCCTCCTCCTCGTCCTCCATTTGCAGCAAACTGTTTTAGCCCTTCTTCCCCATACTTGTTATATATCTCCCTCTTCTCCTCATCCGAGAGCACTTCATAAGCTGTTACATCAACAACGGCGCCATAAGCTCAATTTTTTTTTCAAAACGAAAAAGGGTTCATCATGAGTGTGAAGAATTAGAAGCTACAACAGGAAAATACCGTTATTGATCTCGGCGAATTTGCGATTTGCTTCCTCGTTTCCTTGATTCTTATCGGGATGATACTTCAAAGCGAGTTTCCTGTAAGCTCTCTTGATCTGTTCGTCAGACGCACCTTTCGGTACTTGCAACACATCGTAGTAGCTCTTCCTGAATCACACACACACACACACCATAGATTTATTAGATTTCGCAATGCACACAAAATGCTACGACAGAGGAGCATTCACAGGCGAATAAACTGCACATTCTATGGCACTAAGGCATCGAAAGATTGAGCTTACCCGGAAAGGACACAAATGGCGTAAGAAAGTGCGAACAATACAATACACAGCTTCGACCACCGAATCGCCATGGAAAACGAAATCAGGAGAGAATCAGATCTCTCCCAAAGGACTTCAACTCCAACCTGAGATTCGTTTCGATTGTTAACAAGAAAACTCCCCGATTTAACAAGACCGAAGATCTCCTTTGGCCTTATTATTATTTCTCCTTATTGAGGGAACTCGAATCTCCACCCACACTTCCCTTTCTCTCTTTCACGGAACGATGAAATTCGAACTCCGTGGTCGGTTTACGTGTACATTGCAGCGATTGACCAATCAGGGTTAAGTCTCTGACAAACATAACCAATAAGTATCAGCCACGTGTTAAAAAACACCGCTAGTAGAATCTGTGACTTTTCTTTTCTTCGACTAGGCTATATTTCTTAACAAGGCTCAAGGCCCATTTGCAACTCCACCTAACATGTGCACGTAAAACCGTTAAGAGTGGATTGTATGGGCCTAAAACGCAATCATATATTATACGTTGTGCATTGGTTATCAAACACTACACTAGTCCCATGAAATACTTATTTATCAAAAAAAAACAATAAGAGTGTAGTTAGATCATTTATATATTTTGTTGCTTTATAAATTTGCATGCAAAGAAACATAGACTGGTTTAGGACAATCTGTCATGTCAGGTCTCTTGAATCTTCGCATCTTCGACGAGTGGTCCCAGTCCATTACTACCATTTACTGTCAGCTGAGAAAATGCTGACAAGAGTAAATACGATGGTGAAAAACAAAAAAAAAAAAAACAAAAATAGAAGAAGTAGATACGATGTTCATATATATATATCGTCCATGATATAAGGAAGAATTACTGAGAAGAAAGTACGATTTATATATCATTGTTAGATGATTGATCGAATCCGCACTGATTACTACGGACATGGATGGAGCGGGATATAAAGAAGAATAGATCCCATGCGCAAACGTGTGTACGACAGACGTCCGCAAACAACTTTACATGGACACATTCATTAGGTTATGATGTTATTATATGTAAGCAAGTTTATGATTCATTTTTGTAAGATCTATTAGCGATAAGACCGAGCCAGCGTGGACTATTCACGAGCTCTCGACCGTGGATGAGCCACGACTTCGGTCTCAACAAAGGCTTACGTGGCATATTCTATCACCTGAGACGTGTCACCATCTCCTCACCTCAATCCCCCTTCTCTCCCTCTTGAAGTCCTCTATCTCTCCTCTTATTTCCCCTATAAATATTATTAAAATACCGAATCAATCGCTGTTTGTGGTGTCGTCACTTCACTAATTCATATATTTATATAATATATATATATATATCTCTCTCTCTCTAGCGATTGACTTTAGAGGTCAAGTGAAGTGAGTGAAACTTAACATATATATATATATATAGTCGCCGGAACTAATGGGAAGAGCGCCGTGCTGTGAGAAAGTGGGAATGAAGAAGGGGCGATGGACGGCGGAGGAAGACCAGATTCTCTCCGACTACATTCGTTCAAACGGCGAAGGCTCGTGGCGTGCTCTTCCCAAAAATGCCGGTACTATATATATACACTCTCTCCCGTGATTTCTTTACTTGTGAAAGTTAAGCATTCAACTCTACCGTACTGTGACTGTCAATGGGTGGATTTTTTTCTCAATGCCTACGTGTAGATGCTGCCTCGCCCTCTACAGTGAATTTCTATGATTAATATAATTGTGAATCAATTACATGATTTAGGGTTTATTAAAATATACATGAAAAACAATAATCTAATTTTTATTAGAAAAATTCTCAAGCGTATATGTACCCAATTAGATAAAAACATGACTTCACCATGATCAATTTCAGTTTTTTTTTTACTAATAACTCATTGGTGTGTACTAATATATAGAAGATATTTAAGTGAGTGAACGAAGAAGTTCGCTTTCTATTCCTTTATTAATATTCATCGTAGTATGTATATGCATGTATTAACGTTTTGTCTTGTGTTAAAAGTATCTAATAAAACCTAAAGTGGTTGGCCTTGAATAATAGGTCCACATGCATGATTTAACAGCATTTGATTTGTTTCTACATAATGTATCCTTCCTTACTATGATGTATGCATCAGTGTTCGGGGATGAAATAAACAAAAATAAATAAAAACGTTTGGCATAACGCATAATCGATTTTTAGATGAAGACAAAAAAAAAAAAAACTTCTTGCCAACATTTCGAATCGTAATATTCTAAGAATATCATGTTTGGTCATTTATTATTCAGCCAAAATGGCCTTCTCGTTCTCAGACACTATTGACATAGGGACTATAAACTCGCAACTAAAAACTTATTATTTCAAACGGAGCTACTTATATTTAGAACAAGAAAAAAAAATGTATAATTGACTTTCTTTTATATGCCTTGAAATCTGACATGTTGTTATTTTGAATTAACTAACTAAAAAAGGGCTGAAAAGATGCGGAAAGAGCTGTAGATTGAGATGGATAAACTATCTGAGATCAGACCTCAAGAGAGGAAACATAACTCCCGAAGAAGAGGAGCTAATTGTTAAGTTGCATTCCACTTTGGGAAACAGGTAATCTATTTATTTGAACAAAATGTGATTTATGTATATATGACGTCATTTGTCTGTACTGTATTTAAAAAAAAACACGTTCACGTGATATTTATATGTAGTATTAATCAAGGTTACATCGTAAATTAATATCTTTCGTTGTCTCATTTCTTTATCTTTAAGTTCAGACAAGAAGAGTTTTAAGCATTTCGTATTTATGCATCCGTGATTAAATATCAACCATCACCGATCATTCACATAAATACGTTTTAAGCGAACTTATTTAGTTGTTTAGCGCAAATCAATACTACATTTCTATATTTGAAAACACTTTTAAACAAGATTGTTACTACGTCGTCTAAATGATTTAACAGCTAAATTTGGAATAACGTTAAAACCCTTAATTGTATATTGCAGGTGGTCGACAATTGCCAGTAATCTACCAGGAAGAACAGACAACGAAATTAAAAACTACTGGAACTCTCATCTCAGCCGCAAACTCCACAATTTCATCAGAAAATCAACGGTCATGAATGTAGTCGAGAATGCTCCTCTGCCTCCCTCTCTGCCGCCGCAAAAGCGAAGACCCGGTAGAACCAGCAGATCCTCCATGAAACCCAAATCTATCCTAAACCCTAGAAACCAGAAAACCCCAAATTCTCTAGAGGCAAACAAAAACGACGTAGTTTTACCGATCAGTACAAAGAAGAATGCACAAGAAGGCGCATTAAATGTGTTGTCAAGTTATAGCGTGAGTGGAGCCGAGGAGACAGGTTTAGGACCATGTAGCTATGGAGACGTTCGTTACTGTAACCCGAGCATTAATGGCGACGATGGGGTATTTTGTAACAATGACGACATCTATAATACTAACTCGTTTCTGTCGGACGAGCCTAATGCCGTCCACGTGTTCTCATCTAAGTCGAACAATGCAGAAGACTCTGACAAGAAGAGAGGGTTCTCCGCTGGTCGCGAGAATATGGACACGATGGCTGATGATTTCATTGACTGGGACTTTGTTTGTAGAGAAGGTCAATCCCTTTGGGACGTGAAAGAGGGTCCTCCTGAGTCAGTTTTGTCGTCCTGGCTGTTAGATGGTGAAAAATTTGAATCCGACGACTTCGGAGAACCGTTGGATCTCGACGAGGAAAATGCGATGGTTGCTTGGCTTTTGTCTTGAAAGATTGACACCGTCAACTTTTTCCTCCAAACAATTTAGCATAGGTCCCACTTCCTCGTTGGTTTATGAATATGTAGGTTCCTTTTTTTTGTTCTGTGTAAATTCGGCTTTTGACGGTGAAAAACAAAACAAAGTAAAGTCGATCTTCTTCTATATATATAAATGCATGGATCGTTGGTAAGGCTTCATCACACTATATATATCTTCAGTATCTCTCGAGAGTCGTGAATCATCAATCTAATATTTGATATCTAACCAAAACAAACGTTTTAAACTCAAACTCTCAACCGAGAAGATATTTTGGATCAAGTTGATATTTTTTTCATATACGAACCTGCGTACTAGTACCAAAAGCGAAAGCGAAACAATGAGGGATCGGTATCTTACGTTTAGAAGTACGATTTTGTCCATCTTCACCATAATAATGCCTCATGTGATGCCATGCACATTTGTCTCTTTAATTTTTTTTCTTTTTTTTTTTCTTACGGTGGCCATATGATACTTAACTTTTATAGAATAACCCTTGACTCAGACACACTTCATGTTCCGATCAATGGTACTACAAAAATAGCAGAAGAAAACAAACTAATACAAAAATCATGGTAATGCAGCCAATGTAAAGCTCTTCGAAGTTCGAAATACTAAGACAGTTGTGAACTAGTGATGTCTTTCGAATATTTAAGTTCCCCATAAATGACAATTTTTTAAGTAGAAAAATTAAGTAATATTAGCATGCAGGATAAATGGTGAAAATTGAACATTGGAGAAATACTAATTTCGCAAAACTATTTTAAAACGATAATGACCTATCATATCATCGTAAAATGTGTTTATCTGTGTCACAAGAAACATAAGAGTTTGCAATACATTTATTGAATCACATTACTATTCGTCTATTCGACTACTACATGGCCGACTGATGGGTAAACAGTTAAAAACTAGTATAAAAAATCATAAAGTCTGAAATCCGAACCAACAATATTTCTCAAATTTGTTGCTGAGAAACCATACGAAGTTAGTGAAAGCCTATAAAGGGCCCAATGACCAAGGCCCAGTAAAAGAACAGACAGCTAACCCGGTGTCGTTTTTGAATGTACCCTTCCCTCTGCGTTTGATTCCTGGTGCTCCTTCCTCTCTTTGTTCCCGGCATAGCGACGACGATGTTTGCGGCGAGAGTACGAGCTTCCCTAAAACCTCTGTTCCACGGAAGACACAGCTCCTACTTAAGCCGAAACTGTACGTTAATCCGTTCCTTGTATTAATCTTGCATCTCCATTAGACTTTCTGATTTTTAAATTCCTGGAAATGAAATATCTCGAAATAGCTAATTCGGTGTTTCCCAGGTGAAATTGCAGCGACTTCGAGGCGTGTTTTACTTGATAGGTGAGGTTTGATTTCATATTTCCCACTGTGTTCTGGATTTAAGCAATGTTTATTATCATTAAGGGCTTTGATTGCCTCACCTGTCTCGTTGAGGTTTTAGCTCACAAACAATGGATCTTGTTGATAGATACAATGATGGGGATCGGACTCTGACTAGCTTGCGATTACCTGGAAACAAACTTTTCCACGGCGCATTTCATAGTTCCCCACAGTCTTCTTCCTCCGAAACTGATGTAGGTACGCTTACTAACCAGAGGATATGTTCTTTACCCCCAAAAAAGAAAAAAGAAAAGTGAGCTTGTTTTCTTCTGCTTCTTATCTGTGAACTTTCAGGAGTGAAAACTCGCACTCCTGCTGCGTTATTTAGTTCTGTTGAGGATGATTATTTCTCAGAGTTGGGTTCTGTAGAAAAAGACCAGAACCGGAATGTGGTTGTGCAGCTGTTAACTAAGGTGCCAGAACCTTTTCAGGGTGAGGAGAAACCAAAGCTTTCTCAGGTACATTGGTATCATCTTTCTGTAATCTTGGTTAGTGAAGTAAAGTTTCATTCGTGGTAGCCTTAGGATGCTCATCAGTAGTGCATTTAGCAGACCAATGGTTTTATCCAAATATATTAAGCATTCTTAAGTCAGCCGAGTTTGGTTTTTATTTCTACCAGAGTACTAAAGGCAGAAAGAAGAAGAAGAAGAAGAAGAAGAAGAAGAAGAAGAAGCATGAACAAGCTTCTGAACCAATTTCCAAGCCAAAGTTGCTGACTGAAAAGCCTGAAATTTCTTGGGTATATACGTTTTCAAACTTTTTTCGGGTGTTCAAGGTTATATTTATTTTATTCCGAGATAGACGGACAAGATTGTTGCTGTTTGATTCAAAGAAAAAGATTGAATGCTCTTAATGGTGCTCAGTCCTTTTTCTTACCAGAAAACTAATGGCGAGAGGAAGACCGAAGCAGATGCGTCTTTGCCAGAAAGAAATGTTACGGATTCATTCTCCAAGCCAAGCAAGTCATCGTCTTCGATTCCACATCACGAATCCAAGGCTCAAAACATAATCAGTCCCAGTTCCGAGGAGAAGATCGAAACTAGCTCCAAGGGTTCTTCTACCTCCAGTTCACATTCAAATCATCCCTCTTTGACTGTCGTTTTAAGGATTGGTAATCTAAACTCGAAAACAACTGATACAATGATACACTCGAGGTGCTTGTCGATTGGCTGGCTTGAAGGGCTTGCTAGGGTTAATGAGGAAAGTGTTGACGTTTCGTTTCGAGCGAGAAACATGAACGAAGTAAATTCTATACTGGAAAAGTAAGTAAAAAAAAAATAAAGAAGAAACCAGTCTTGTTTGGTTCTTGATTCAGAATCCCTGAAGGTGTTCTTGTTGAATTACACTGATACTTCATTTCTTGTCAACTGCTTTTTCCAGGCTAAACAGTGCAACCGTAGATCACTCTCAATGGATGGCTGAGATTGTACCAGAAGCTGAAGAAGCTTTGAGGGATCAAATGGGAATGAGGATGAGTAGCTGTTTCGACGATCTTGAGAAGCAACTGATGATGCGGCGGATTCTTGTGAAAGACTTGGAAATTCTGGTGCATTCGGTTATACATCTGGAGAACCATCCAATGGCTCGACAAGGAACTAATGCTTTAGGGTGTTCTCAAGAAGCCTAGTGGCGCTTTTGGGTTTTTGTTGATTCTTACAGTCACCTTAATAACTGATTGAATTGGGGGTTAAATTAATGATTTATGAAAGTAACCATCTTCATTCAGAGATTTTATCCCGTTTTCTATATTTAAAGACTTTGAACTTTTCTCAATTTTTCTCAATTCCTTTTACTTAAATTATATATTATATATGAAAATTATAATCTAAGTATATAACCAACTTACAACACTATTGGTTTATGGGAAATAGAAAGTTCCCATACATAAACAGTGAGACAGATCAGATCACCGCAGAAATTTTATTCCATTTTCTATATTTAAACTTTTCTCATTTTTTCTCAATTCCTTTTACTTAAAGGGACCCTTACTTAAATTATATATTATAGGAAAATTATAATATAACCAACTTACACTATTGGTTTATGGGAAATAGAAAGTTCCCACACATAAACAGTGAGACAGATCAGATCAGCACAGCTCAGTGATGAAGAAGTGTACAGTTATATACAGTAGAGAGCTGGTCGCGATTGATTGAAGTGACTCATCCCACGTCACTTTTTTTGCAGCTTGTATATTTTTGGTCCTAAGAATATATTTCCTATTGATTAATCCCATATATCTCCGGTATTAAAAAAAACAAAAACAAAATTCAATACTATGCTATGACATGCCTGACGATTCTTAAATTTTTTAATATCTCTTATGAAAGCTCTCCAATGCGTTAAGAAAGCATTAAGGTCCCATGACATGACTGTCTTTAATGTAATCTGGCCCAAATTATTAACTCTCATTGGAGTTTTATGGCGAAGAAAGAAAGAAAAAAGAAGTGAGATATTCACTTTTCAGAGGAGTGGGTCATGTCAAGTATGGAGCTCCTCTGTTCTTAATACTCTTCTCTTACGACAACTCACGTGGCCCTTCTTCTGTTTTTTCACAAAATAATCAGAGAAGTTGTGTATATGAGTGTATAAGCGAATGTAGATGCAGCATTGGGCCCAAAACGAAGACAGGTTCATGTGGTTTGAATCGTATATTTTCAGATAGATAAGACAGCTAAATGTTTGTTGATGTGCGGTGTGGATCTTCTTAGGTCGCTATACGTGCACGTAATCTCATTTAATATTCGGTTTTATTCTCAACGACAACTATTGCCGCAGCCTTGACAGCAGAAAACGACACCGTTTTTCATATTTTAACTCGTTATTAATTGGTGTCTCTCAAACAAAATTCATTACTAAGCTTATGGAGTCTATCCAGCCATGGTTTGTGGAGCAAAACCGGAAGCCATTAAAAACCTTAGCCACATAGAGGAAGGAGTCAAGGAGATTAGCTTCACATTTCGATACATTCCATTGGGATTAAAATTCCAATTTCATTTTAGGTTTTCTCGTTTTCTTATTTCGACAAGAGGGCAGATCTAACTTAATATGAATGGATTTGACACATGTGTTGTTTCAATTAAATTATATTTTCTATTCAAATCAAGTAAAGGCGCAAATTGGATTTATTTTATATTTTTAGTTCAGCTTGATGGATCTGGAAATGAATATATACATATAAACGATGGTCATGATTCATGAAAACTGAAAAGAAAAGTTTCAACGGGAACAACTAAAAATATGATATGCAGAAGTCGTGTTGATCAAGTGAGTATGAAAACAAAAACCATACATTAGTCACGGTAGTCGGTAGGCAACAAGGGATGAAAGTTTATTATTGTTTAATAATTAACTATTTAACTCTAAAGATAATATCCAAAACAAAAAATCCAAAGAATGAATAGATATATTAGCTGCAAAGGCATATATTATTTAGCAAAGTGCCAATTAGATAAGACTTGAAAGATGCAGTTTCAATCACCAAATGCTAATAAGACAAACCACAAATGGGTCATCATGTATTATGATGGAGATGCTCTCTCTTAACTCTACTACTCACATTACTCCAAAAACACCTCACGCATGGCCCCAATCTTATTTTTATTTTCTCTTGCGCAGATCTCACAGAGTACTTAGTACTTACTAAACAATTGTTGCACTCTCTTCCTCTCTTTCTCAAGTCAAGCCTCAACAAACCAAAACCCCACCACCATTATTGTTTCTTAACCTTTAACTTCTTGGCCATTAAAGAATAATACAAGTCACAAAACTGTTACAACATCACTGTAGAAAATCAGATTTTGAAATCATTCCCAAGAACTACAGAGAATCATAGTAATCAAATCTAACAACAGAGTTGCAATGATCTTCTTACATACATACTATTTTTTTTCTTATAACTTAAGGATTACTGAATCCATAAACCTATACATAAACATCTGCTTAACAATAATTAATCTATGACTTAACCGGATGAAACAGGGTTTAAGCTGCGAGCTAAACCATTCAAGGCACTGTAGCCTTTGGAACTAAACCCTAAACAGCCGAAGAGTCCATGCCTGTAAGGCAAGTATGTCCTCTTCTTCATCTCCTCTGCTTGAGCTCTGTTCGTTGTGTAATGCAGCTCGTGAGCAGACGGCTGCAATCCTCGCCGTTTTGCTATTCCGTTGGTTGGTTTTCCGGCGATCGGAGATTTTTTCGCCGGCGGTTGTTTCTGTTTCTGCTTTTTGAGCTCGACGGATACGTTCTCTGTTTCCGGGATCGGTTTTTCTTCCTTTGAGATAGTGAGGGGTTGAGATTTGAGCTTCTTGTCTTTGAAATTGGAAGGAGAGAAAGAAATGTTGGACCAGAACTTCTCCTTCCCGTTTCCTCTCCCTTCGCTTTTGCTCCGGTGAAGCAGATCCTTGAGGAATATCCATTTCTTAGAGTTTCTACCGTAAGAAGACGATCGAGAAGACGAAGCCGAGCAAGACGGCGTTGTTTCAGCTGAAGGAACGTTTTCGTTACTCTTCGCTTCGTTCTCGTAATCTTCCTGAAGCTTCCGTATACATTCCTTCACCTCTCTCTCTCCGGCAACTCCTTCTTCTTCTTCTTCTTCCTCTTCCTCTTCAGTCCATTGATACGCTGCGTTTCGGAGCGGAGAGAGAGATCTTGCTTTGCGGTGAATAGATCTGCTTCTCAACTTCAGATCTCTCCCACGCCTATTCACACCACCGTCTGGTTTCGCATCATCTTCGTCTTCTTCCAGATCTAGAAGCGGCGCTAAGATCTGAGGCCTCTGGAGATGCGAGGAGAGCTTCATCGGCTTGATCTGGCCGTTAGAGAAGAGCTCTTCCGCGGAGGTCATTGATACGCCACCGAGAGGGCCACTGCTCGAAGACAATCGAGACGAGAAATCAAACTCAAAGTCGCCGGAGGAAGACGAATCGAGCTTCGGATTCTCCGATGGAGCAGCGGAGCAGAGGAAGAAATGCATCGGACTCGAAGGTGCGCTGAAGAAATAACCCGGCGGAGGACCACGGCCGGGACTAGACGGAGCGCTGACGAACGGCGTGGAGCAAGCAGAGCCAAGGTCGTCGCTGAAACGCGGCGTTTCGGAGAAATCAACCGTTTCTGGCTCGCCATGGCCAAAACTCTTAACAACAACCATTGTTCTACGGGAGAGACAAAGAGGTTGAGAGATCAGAGAGTAGATCGATTGTGACTGTGGCTTGTTTCTCAAGAAAATGTTTTCTGCAGAAAACAGAGAGAGAGAGAAGAGAGCGCGAGGAGCGAGGTGAAAGCAGCAGATATGCAGTGTATGTATGTATGATGCTGCTTTTTTATTCTTAGTATTTATTGACAATTCTTAAAAAATTAAATTAAATCGCGATTCTCAAAAACTTTTTCTTTTATTATTAATTGTACTCTAAAATATTCTGATGCTATTTCCTTATTAGAGAGAGAAAAATAAATTACAGTTTACTCGATATTTTGCACAAACTGAAAGATTGTTTAATCCTCTGACGTGTTGTTTGCATGAATAAAAAAGTTGTAAAATTATTATTTTCACGTAGTTAATTATGTTTATGAATTTGATAATGTAGGTAATGCTAGGGTTGTTGCTTAGGATTCTAAAGGCTGATCCAATAGAATAAAGAGGAAGAATCTACAGATGTTTTTGGAATTTATAACGCCATTTTACTAGTTTACCCATATTGTTTCAGAAAAACAAAAAACATGTACTATGTTTTACACAAATGACCGATCCTCAAGGAAAAGAAAAACAAAAAGAAATCAAAATGAAGTCGGCTTACAAATTTTCTTCTTTACATTTGATTCAAGTCACACATCGCTTTTCAGTTTAATCTTTCGGATTATCTAATAACGCCCAAGGAATTTTTATTTGAATTTCAAATAGAAGTTCTGATTTCCATAAATGAAATGAGAAAAATACCATGATGGTGTATTTATGTCGACTCAGGTTATGATTTCAAATTTTCTCATATTTGAATTTAAGCTTGTTGTCCTGACAGGATAATAAGGAATTAAAACGAAACTAATTGGTTGGCATAAGAACTACTAATTAATAAATCAAAATTATCTCAACGAAGAAATATAAGTATAATTGAATAAATTTCTTTGGGCTTATTATTTGTATTTTTATTATGTATGATAGAAGAAATTTCTGTGGACATCTATTTGTTGCTCACATGTATCAACTTCCTATACATCTCTATTCCTTTATTGCAAATAATTGAGGGCGTGCAGAATCTAGCTAAAAATACCTGATTAATGAAGAAAATAAACCACCAGACTAGCGGGGTAATATAGTATTTTGGGTAAAGGTATTTCGGTAAAGCGAATATAGAGAAGACGTGGCTTCACGTGCTGAGCTACGATCGTGCATAGAAGGTGCTTCGTCTCTTGTTAATAAATAACGATTTCCAATGCAAGAAAGTGTATGAATGCATTTAATGGGCCATATATATTTTTATACAACTCGTATGGCCCAAATCAAATGAAATTATAATTGGGCTTATAATAAGAGTAAAAAAAATAATTTGGGCCACAAACGTGTTAGATCTGAATCGTTGTTTGACGAATTACACTCGTTTTCAACGACGTTGTATTGTTTTCAAAATCAAATCAAAAACTCACTTCGACATCAGAAAAAATGTTGTCGCCGGAGATTGTCGCCAACTACAGCCCAAGGCACGATCCGCCGGAATTTGAAGGAAACGAAAAATTGATCATCCATTTATGATCTGAGAGCACCTGTTCTTCATCCAGCGAAACCCTTTCTTCACCGTCGATTTAACTTTCCTTTCCATCACGTAAGCCTTGTACGTCGCGATTCTCGTCTTCCTCTTCGTTTCCGGGTCGATGAATCTCCACGAGGCAGGAGCAGCCGTATGCGCCGTCGTAACTGCTCCCGGCGGAGGCGGAATAGACGATTGTAAACCGGACGAGTCGGATCGGGTCGCTCCACCGACGCCGTAACCCTTACCGTTAACGATCTCCATCCATCGATCAACAGCGAGCGTCCTCTGATTCGACCCGAACCCGTCCATTTTCCTTACGCCGGAGCTCCGTCAGAATTGGAAAAAGCACCGGTAAGGGTAATGAGATCGGGTGGATTTGGTTTTGGATTAGGGAGTCAGGTAATTAATAAAAATGGAAACATGTGTTTAGAGCGTGAGCGGCTCTGCGATCGTTGAGGTGCATTTTCTTTTCCTTTTTTAATGATGGTTTATATAATTTTCCCTTTACGAAAACAACAAAAAATCGTAAGAAAAAAATAGTTAAACTAAAATTTGAGTTTATAAAATATTCAAAAAATATTCTATTTCTTGGATGTTTTTCTCACAATACTTTTTTTGGTGTTACAATACTTGTAAACTCTTGCTTTGAATAATTTTAAATAATTATCAATAGAAGTAAGTAAACGTCCATCTTTCAGATTTTGGTGATGCATGTATCTTCGAAATGGTTCGTAAAAGTTTTAATCTGATTTTAATTACTCCTATTAAAAAAAGAAATCATTTTTGTTTTTGATAATGTTGAAACTGGGAACTATAACAGACTTCTTGATAATACACACAAATGGGTTATATTATTAAAATCTTCGGAAAATATATGTGGCCCAATGGCCCATATATTAAGCAATCATGTACATTCCCTGGAAGATTTCGAAATGAATGTATGATTGGCCTGCGGGATCAGAGAGCCAGCCGCCAGGGATGACTCTAATAAAATTGGGGAATTATGATCCATCAAAGTTGGATTATTTGCTTAAAAACGACAAGGTAGTAATAATATACTTATAACACACAATGTTACACGCTTACGTCTGTACATGCGTATGTGTGAACTTCCCACGTGCGGTGAATAGCAAATCGAGGGAATATATCGAGTTGATGAAATCACAGCTGAATAATCTAATAATGTTAGGTTTTTTTCATTTTTAATGTTTCCCACATAATCAAATTCATGTACACATGACACTGACGTAGCGCCACCTAAAACATGCTACAATTAAATTTGATTAAGATATCTTCTACTTAAACTATAAATTTCTTAAAAAACAAAAAAATCGGAAAATGTTGTTCGACATTACATACATATACATGCGTGTTTCTCTCGCCCTCTATATATCTTACAATGGACTTGGGCTAAGGAATGACAATGAGAGAGAACCAACGGTCAAGATTTGGTGGAGGGTTGTCACATGGGCCATGGGAGTGTCGTCGCACATCGCCATTATTGCAATCAATAGCCATCGACTCGCGCTAAACGCCATTGCTCTCTTATCGGTTATTAAATTAATTAGTTAATGCGATTTTCGTTATAACCAAAAGAGCTGAGAAATTTAATTACGTTTCCTCAAGACAATAATCACCGATAGTTGACAAAACAAGGAATCACCGCTAGTTGACAAAAAAATTCAACGACAACGCTGTGCTTCATTCATTATTCAGACCATTCGTTTTTTGATCAAATAAATCTGGCTGATAATACTGTACGTTCTTATTTATTCCTTATATAAAAGTTCGGTCTGGATATAGAGCCAACAGCGAGGGTAAAAAATTTACACTGAAAAATTATCTAAAAAGTTATATAACAAAAAACTTGAACTGGATGTTCGGAAAGGGACACCGACCATTGTTATTTGTTAGATATATTATTACTAAACTAAAATCGTTAAAAAAAGGAAATGAACAAAATAAAAATAACCTAAAACAGAAAAAGAAAAAAATGACCATCAATCATACACCGAAGTATTAACTTATAATCGTTCGCATACACATAGATGCGTGTAACTAATCACGTGTGTGCTGCTTCATACACACTGTGGTTTTTAGCCATTTAGGTCTTCGTAGTTATTATTATAAATCCCAACCAAACTCTCATTCTCTCTCTTAAATTCCTCATTCGTTATATCTATCTCTCGCTCGCTCTACAAATACACAACACAGCTTAGAGAGAGAGAGAGAAAGAAAGAGTGTGTGTGTGATGGAGATAACGCCGAAGAGGTATTGGCGGAGGTGGAGAGGATACGAGAAGCTTGATGGGTCATCGACGGCGGGTCGAAGGAACGGGAAACGGGTCAAAATGGATCCGACTCGGAAGAAACGGTTTTGGAGGATCAAGATTGTGCCGAAACTGAGAATCCTTAAAACGGCGTCGCCTAAGAAGCTTTTGATTTGGATACGCGATTCTTACGTTAAGATGATGATGCGGTTGGCTAACTCGCGGGTCGTCGGATCCTCGGGATACGGTGGATCCGGATTCGGGTCGGGTCAAATGAAGGAATACGATGAGAAAGTGCTCGTGGAGATTTACAAGCAGATATTGATGGCGCAGGCGCAGGGAAATCTCGTGCACCGCGACACAGCTAATAAGCTTCCTTCTGAACCAGCGATTGTCTCTGTCTCTCCTGTTGTTAGGTAATCATTATAAAATACATATATCATTTTTCTTTATAATAAAAGAGGATCAAAGTTCTTGACTTGTTTGATATACTTTTCGAGATTGCTGATAGCAAAGTTGTGATTTTAATCTGTATCAAATTTATCACAAAAATAGAAAAATAAAATAGTTATGTAGAAAGAAATAAATTATAGATGGTGGATTGTGGGTCCAAACATTTACGTTTATTTAATGGGTGTTTTTTCATTTATTTTATAAAGTTTTTGCTAAATCTATGTTTCTGAAATATAAAGATTCGCATTTACATCGTAATTAAATATGGTTGTATATAGTTCGTTGTTGTACCATTCATGTCCTGTGTGAATTTTTTTGTATATACTACAAGTCATCCCTATAATCAACCTATAATTAATTTTATTGTGTTGACTGTTCTGTGGAATTTCAGTTGACCGTACTTTTGCTCAAAGAAAGTGTGAATTGAGTTTGTGATTTCATCTTCGGAAACCTTCTGAATGTGGGGGAGAGTTTTGGTTGGGTATTTGTTATTTTCAAGTGGATAAGTGATGATTCTAAATGAGTCAGCAAGCACGTATTGTGTTTCTTTCAACTAACTTAAAATCAAGAACCTAAATACCTAATCATGTGAACTAGTGGGCCTATATACCTTTCCAATGAAGCATATGAATTCCGAGTCTTATACAATAAGTATATCCAATATCCATTATTGAAAACATAATTAGTTATTCATCAATAGTCTATACTCTATAGTAATCGAGAAAGGGGATTATAAGACGGTGTGAGGACTTTTAAACACAATATTTTTGGGCTAATCTTTTCTCGTGCTATGTATATATTTGAAGGTGTACGTAATTAGTATTCATATAGATATTGGACTCGTCGAAATGGTCCTAATTTGGTCTAATCTTACTTGGGCTTAAGAAGTTCATGGCTACACTGGGCCTAAAGGGTTCTAATATAGCTCTTTCATAATGATTTTTCCCGGATATCAAACAGCCTCGGTTATGGAAAATGCAGGAGTCTATAGAACATAATGACTCTGGACTTAGTAAAAACAGAACATAAACAAAAGTTTCATACAGTTAAATCTAAAGTTGGATGATGAAAATTTTATCACATCTAAGTAAAAGTCTAAAGTACGCAAGCATAAGGTTTGATGTTCCTATCGTCATCTACATATTACACTTCTGCTAAATTAATTGACCTATATTTCTATCCTCCATGTTAATAAAATGTACGATCGCGTGAACTCCTAAAGTTTTGAACTAGGTTGATTACTCAGGGAACAAGCCATTTACATAACGAATTTCCATGTGGCTCCTAGGATTAGATATCTAAGTACCAATCTTATTGACCCAAGTGTTAGCTTTCATATGCAGATAAATATATCAGACTTTATTATTTTGTATCCCCACGATAAATAGATCAAACGTATCATGTATGTGTCTCTACAGACACAGAAAATTCAAATGAAATTGACACTAGATCAAATTGTTATATATGTTTGACTATAACTTCCTGATTTGTGCATAAATGTACTGTATGTTTATAAGTACACGTATACAAATTTTGGACAGTTTATGAGAAAATAAGGGAATGAGATGATCAAACAATTTCCCCTAATAGTATGAAAATGATAAAAACGAGCTTAGAGGTTTAAAACAAAATGATTTTAAAAATCACCATTTTAAATAATTAGCTAAAGGAAAACTATAATGGTGTAATAAAACGAAACTTACTGCTTTATATATATATATATATATATATATATTCTAAATGTCTGTGTCTAATACATGTGTACCTTTGAAGTGTGAAGTAATGTTCAGATTAATAAACCAGATGATATATGTTATTAAACAGGAAGTTGACCAAATAACATAGTATCTAAAACCAAAAATAAAAATAAATTAGCATAAAGTCCTTTAGCTGAGTAGTGAGCGAGAATACTTGAATGTTATTGTGGCACATGGAGTTTATTGGTCGGTCCAAAAAGAGAACGAGTTATATAATATGAAACATTTGTTTAATGATTCTATGTATAATCTTGAATCACGAATAATACAATACATTAACTGACTTGTCCGATTCAGTTTCTATCAATTTCTATCTTTGAAATATATATACTATAGTTATACAATGACAGATGAACCATCCGTGGTTGTTATCAGTAGTGAGATATGAGTTTACTTGTGTAATTTTGAATCTTCTCTCTGTCTCTCCTAATGAACATAGTTGTCCTATAGAAACATTTTTAATACAAATAAAATTGGACATTTCAACTGTAATATTGGGATATTATTTATTTATATTTCCAATTAAAATTATTTCATAGAGAAAGAAAAACGATGAAGAGGTGTTAAGTAGGCTACACCTAATGGTTACAAAAAGCATTTTAATTGGGTTAGAATAGGCTGCATACATATATACCTTACCGACATTTTTCTCCATGTGAACTGCAATATAATAATCAGGGATAAATGATAATTGTACGTAGTGCATACTAGTAGTCTCGTCAAATACGGACATTATGGAAATTATGCCATCTGGCTCTCGCCAGCTAGTTCAATCGGCCTTATCGTGAACAAAATATGACTGAAAAGATCCATTATTCACAAGTTTTTGATAAAGCTTTTGATTTCGTTTGGGAATCCACACAGAGATTCATACGATATGCTGCTTACCTCAACAATCCAAAATCCGATATAAAATTTAAGATTTAGTTTGTCTGTGTTTTTCATTCTTACTTTCTAATACGAAAGACTCAAAAGTTTAAACACAAGAAGAAGAGAGAAAAATACAGTTCCTAGCTCACAGGAAACTGATGTTACTATTATCTACCACTCATGTGTCATAAATCATGAATCATGGGGTTCACTTGATCCGGAAATCTCCACTTTACTAATAAACAAATTACTAGAAAGGTTTAAATGCTTGAGATATGAATGCAATTAAGTTAGCTTGGCACCGAATCAATTATCATAGAGATTGGTTGTGTGCTAAGTCTTTAACTAACAATTACTTGTTCCAACTGAATTAGAACATCATTACTTAAAGTCAATATCAAATGTAATTATCTGGAAAGTAATTGGTGTATGTGCTTCGTCTCTAGACGCTCCTTATGATTAAATAATGTTGGTTTAGTTTAAGTAAACAATGCACATCAGCAGTCATACGCAAATACAACTTAATTTTGGTTCAACAGACCAGACCAGGTTATCCGGATTGTTGGTCAAAGGTAATCGATGGTTTTGGTGTTGAAACGACGTGGAGCAGTAGTATTACTAAACAGAGTTAAATCAACTCACTTCATGAGGATCCATTTTCTTCTTCTTATTGTGATCACGTATTTTTCAATCGACTCATGAATCTCTCAGTCTTTATTTTTTTTTTTTTTTTTTTTTTCTGAATCCGTTTAGTTTTAAAATGGTTATGACACTTGAACGGTTGTACCGATATCTATTTTTCAAACTTAGTTATAAGAAATGCCAAAGGCATATTATGTTTACGGATTTTGGTTCGCGTTTGGTTTGGAATATTAGATTCCGAATATATCATATATTTTGTTCCTATGGATAGTAAGAAAAATTAATCAAAGTAAAACCTAGTATTGGTTTCATTTCAAGTAAGTTCATAATTACTAAATGTATATAAAAAAGTCATTTAAAGTAAGTTAATATTTTATTTGATGTCAAATCTAATATTATTTTTACTCAAATTATGGGTATAAGAACTGAATACTTGTAATTAAATTCAATGTAGTTGTCGAATACGTCAATTTATAAACACACGTTACAATTTTATTTGAGATAATATTTAATGATGAAATCTATTTTGATTAGCCTGTAGACAAAATATAAATTTGCTATGATTAGCCCCATACAACTAAGTAGAATACAACAATTTGTTGGCGAAGGAGAAATAGAAGGAAAAAGTCATTAGGCAATCTCTCTCTCTTTGTTCTTCTCTCTCTCTCTCTCTCTCTCTCTTTCGCTGCTTCTTCCATCTTCTATAATACTAAAATAGAGAGCCAAGGAAGAGAAAGAGGAGAGGGCTTAAAGAGCAGACGGTGGCGCACCGTAGCACCGCCCCTCCTAACTTGCGCCTCTCTTCTTCTTCATTTTTATCTTTTTTTCCCGACTTGGGGATTATTCCTCTTCTCCTCTCTCAGGTCGCTTCGATCCCACGGCATAGTTATCGATTTTTGATTCTCCTTTGGAATACTAAATCCTGATTCTCACTTCAATTTTGGATTTTGTTTCCTTCTCTTCAGATGCATTCACCTTCTAAATCTCTCTCCCTCTGCGGCGATTTTTGAAAAGCTCTGGCGGACATCAAAGGAACCCTAGCTTTCCTCCGCTCCTACCTCGCCTCTATCGCCGCCGATCGGTGGTTCGATTTCAAATCCAAGAAAAAGAAACGCAGAGGTGCGATTCGCCGTCTCAGGATGCTCTGGATCATGCGATTTTCCGGTTTATTCTCCGCCGCTTTGGTTATTATCGTCCTCTCTCCTTCTCTCCAATCATTTCCTCCAGCCGAAGCTATCAGATCTTCCCACCTCGACGCCTACCTTCGATTCCCGACCTCCGACCCACCGCCGCACAGATTCTCCTTCAGGAAAGCCCCTGTGTTCCGCAATGCCGCCGATTGCGCCGCCGCCGACGTCGATTCCGGCGTCTGCAACCCTTCGTTGGTCCACGTCGCGATCACTCTCGATTTCGAGTACCTGCGTGGCTCAATCGCCGCCGTACATTCGATTCTCCAGCACTCGGCGTGCCCTGAGAGCGTCTTCTTCCATTTCCTCGTCTCCGAGACTGACCTAGAATCCTTGGTTCGATCGAGTTTCCCCGAATTGAAATTCAAGGTTTACCATTTCGATCCGGAGATTGTACGCACTCTGATCTCCACCTCGGTGAGGCAAGCGCTCGAGCAGCCGTTGAATTACGCTCGAAATTACCTGGCTGACCTTCTGGAGCCTTGCGTGAGGCGCGTGATTTACCTGGATTCCGATCTAATCGTCGTCGATGACATCGCCAAGCTTTGGAGGACGAGATTGGGATCGAAAACGATCGGGGCCCCGGAATACTGCCACGCCAATTTCACCAAGTATTTCACGCCGGCATTCTGGTCCGACGAGCGGTTCTCCGGAGCATTCCGAGGGAGAAAACCGTGCTACTTCAACACAGGGGTGATGGTGATGGATCTGGAGAGATGGAGGCGCGTGGGTTTCACGGAGGCGATCGAGAAATGGATGGAGATTCAGAAGAGCGATAGGATTTACGAGCTTGGGTCTTTGCCTCCGTTCCTGCTTGTTTTCGCCGGGGAAGTAGCGCCGATTGAGCACCGGTGGAACCAGCACGGTCTCGGTGGGGATAACGTGAGAGGGAGCTGCAGAGATCTTCACCCCGGTCCGGTTAGTTTGCTTCATTGGTCCGGTAGTGGTAAACCGTGGTTCCGGTTAGATTCGAGACGGCCTTGCCCGCTCGATACTCTTTGGGCACCTTATGATTTGTACGGACACTCACGCTGATTCATCGAAAGATCACGATTATCTGTTACTACACTACAATGGGTTTATACTCTCTCAGCTGGTAAATTCTCTCATCTCACCATTAATTCTTTTCTTTCTCCATTTTCTCTTTCGTTTTCTTTTTTTCCGACTTTGGAATTTGTTCTTCCTCTGTATTCTATTCGATTGTTCGTCTTCTGTGCATGAAATGAAATATAAAAGAGACAAGAAACACAAAAAGAAACCTAGGATACATTCAGATTTGTTGTACAGATTTTTACCATACGTTTTCTAGTTATAAATCTGCCTTTTTTTGTTCTCACTCTCAAAGATTATACTATCGGTTATCGTCTTATCCAAAATACTAATATTCACCGACAATCTCAATTTGTTCCTTCGTAACCAACTTGGTCTACTACAGTGTTTTGTGCGTTCTTTTCTCTCTTAATGCTTGAAAATTTGCGAAAAATGAAAATGGTTTGAAGTTGGAGAATTATCGAAACACGTCAAAATCAAGAGAGCGGATCAAGAAGGACACGACACTTAAGAATAAATATTCTGTTTAAACAAAGAAAATGGTGTCGGTCTCTTTGCTTAGTTCACCTTTTATCTTTTTGTTTCTTTGATACTTGACTCTTTTTGTTGAGTGCGATGATTGTTATTAATTAGTTGATATTAAACCTTACACTATAAAGTGTCTCACTTGGAGCCAAAAACAAAAGTGTCACACTTTGATATTTTTCTTGTCGTCCTCTGGTTGGTTCTTAACCAAAAGGATAATGCGCTTTACTAATCAAGATATAAATAACAACACCTTAGTTCTTCGACATTTCTTACCACATACAATAGTGGGAAATTATTGATTGATTAAAATATTCTGTGTGGTCTTTTTCCGAAGCATACAGTTGTTTAAGACAAATTTGATTTTCCAATTGCAAAGGTGGCAGTTCCCCTTTAATTCAGAGGTGAAAACGAATATCTGTAAAAGTCTGCTTTTATTTGCGTATGTGATACGGATACTTTGGTTTGATTTTTGGAATCATCCACAATGATAGGGTGATCAGTGATGATATCATAATCGTAAATAAAGGCAACAAAAGTGGGGGTAACTTTGATGTATGTGGCATATAATGTATAATCTTAATCAGATAATAAATATCGATATAATTGTTTTTTTGGGTTCTGGTTAAATAGGTCCCAGAAAAGTGTTCTCCTGGTATCCCACGTGGCCTAGTTGCTGTAACCTTCTCCTGGAATCAGCTGGTTCCATGTGCTCCGTGTCACTCTCCGAGCTGTCTCTCTTTTGTTTGACTACATCCACTCCTCCCAATATACTATCTTTAACCTATAAATCAAATGATCTCTCTGATTTGTGGTCATCCGTTGATTTTTTAATTTTTCTCGACCTCATCGGTTATTAATTCTCATCGTTATCAATCCTAACATTTTGAAAATTTATGTAAAGCAATGAAGCGTTGTCGTAGTGTTGAAATATGTATATATCAGATCAACGCTGCAGGCTAAGGTTCATAAAAGAAAAAGAAAACGCTGCAGGTTCATCTAAAAATTCGCAGCTGTCTGTAATCGTGAAAAAAGGTGCTAACTAAATCCCACAGAACATAGCCCATCGAAACATCACCGACCTGGATATTAACAATCATCGGGCCTAAGTATTTATTCTTAATTATAAAAATTTGAAAAGTCTTGTAAGGCCCATATTCAGGCATACAAAAGTATACAACTACTAATTAAGTTTAGTCCAGTAAAAATAACTTAGAAATTTCCTCATCAAAAGAAAGCATGGCCATGAAAACTAAAATTCGCATGATTGATCATTGGTTTTAGAGTCCATAAGTGTAGCTTATTGCAATACATATTGATATTTAATATATTATTAAAAAAATAAAAGAAAAAGAAAACATCGTTTATAATGAGATTTTGTAATACAACATACGAATCCGTATATCAGTTTTGCCAATAAGATTGTTCAATGACTAAATCAACTACTATATTATATCTACGCAAGTGATTATAGATCACTCACAATTAACACGACCAAAGTAACAAAAAGATACTACTAGGCTAAACGCAAACAGCAACGAGGTGTTGGGATTCGCAGTTGTGGCATTCAAAGAGCCTCTATAAAAAAAGAAAAAAAAAAATCAGGGATAGAGAGAAATCCTATTACGACAGAAAATGAATTCATATATGTATCACCTTAGAGCGACGAATCAATATCGATTAACGGGATCAAAATTGTTGTGTCCTGGTGGGAAATACTCGTTGAAGTCGTAGGGTAAGTTTGGAGGATAGAGGAGACCGGAATTTTCCATGGTTGATAACACCTGTGCAGGATCTTGCTTGGGTATCACGGAAGGTAACTGAAGAGAAGAATGGTAGTGCTGCTGTTGCTGCTGTTGCTGCTGTTGTTGCTGTTGTTGTTGATGTTGTGGGTGGTAAAACGAGTCAATGCAAGGGTTGGTCATCAAAAGGCTGTTGTTCATTGTGAGGTAATTGATCGATGGATACTGAATTGGAGCATTCTCTGCGGCTTGATCGTTGGTCAAAAACGACGACGGCACTCTAGTATGGAGATTGATGCTTGAGTTTAGCAGCGGTTGCGAAGCCGTGATGAGACTGGTTGGGTTTGGTCCAGCGTTATAGTGCCACCCTGAATCTACTCGAGTACTCTCCTGGGGAACGCATGGCTTTTTCTCCGCTAGACGGTACTTCTGTCATCGCATTCGATGTAAATTGTTAGTCCTATAATTCATGGTTTCTTGTCTTGCAAGAAACAAACCCTAGTTTAATTGAGCAAATATATAAAAAAAAATCTGATATAAGTAATGATTAATTACCTGAAGATGACTGGCTACATTGTTTCTAGTGAGTCCTTCCACATTCATTTCTTCTAGCATACATTTTAGAATCTGCTTCGGAACAGCCTCTGCGTTTTCCAACGTTGAAACGTGATGATTATCAAATTAATATAATAATGTGGAAACTGATATCGAATATTCGCTAGGGATTAATTAGCATGGACATACTCTCACCGTTGCCGATTTTTTCGACGGCTTTTTGAAACTTGTCGTGAAGTTCAGGAGTCCACGTCATCCGCGGTTTCTTGGACAAAGGCCTGCCTCCTTTTTTATCGCCAGTGTTTTGTTCTTCGCTATCTTGGACGTTCTTGGAGCATACTTCGTTGCTATGATCGAGATTATTACTGTGTTGCCCTAAACCGCCGTCCTTTTCCGAATCTTTTTCAACCGAATCTAAACCGGATTTTGACATTCTCTTGCGGTAAACATGTTGCCATAGAACTTCAACGACCTCTTTGCTCACGGGCTTCACGAGAAAGTCACACGCGCCGTTCTTCGTCGATGTCATCACCGTTTCCTTCTCGTGGTCATGAGACGTGACTTGACACGAAAAATTTAAACATAATTAAGGCCGAATAAACGATGATAAATTAATGTTCTATAATTAATAATTAAAGTCTTCTATCGAAAAAAATAATGGTAGCTTACTAGAATTGTACATACTTACTTACTACGGGTAAATCCATCTCTTTACCAATGGTATTGAGAGCTTCGAGCCCATTAATCTCGGTCACATGAAAATCCCAAATCACGAGATCAATCTCATCCTTACTCTTCATCAAGAAAGCGATAGCATCATCTCCGTTTGTAAAATTCGTCACTGAAAACATCAAAGTATAACATAATCATGATAAACCCTAGTGTAAACCCCTAAACCCTAGTAACCCTAATTTTGTCAGAGAAAGATCAAAGCAAACCCTAAATTTACTCTAATTAATTAGATACCTTGGTAGGAGAATTGTGTCATGAGATTCTTCATGAGACTTGAAGATTCGGAATCTGAGTCGACCAAAACAACCCTAATACTCGTCGTCGGAAACTCTTTGTCGTTGTCGTCGATTTCACCATCGCAAGGTTCTTCACGCAAGTCGTGAGAATCTTCTTTGGGTGTGCTTGATGAGACTGACATTAACAAAGAAAGAAAGAAAAGACTAATCTCTGAGTTAAGCGTAAGGAAGGAGGGGGAGAGAGAGAGAAATTGAATTGAAGAAGGTTGAGAGAGAGAATTTAATGAGCGTGCGAAAAACAAGGTGTATATATATATATATATATATATATATGGATTACGTGCGAAAAACAGGATTTTGGAAAGTAAATATACTATTATTAATTGTTAGCTTATATCGACTTCCTTTTTTCAAAAAATAGTTATCTATATATTTTTAATATAAAAACATGAAAAAGGTATTAAGGGAAAGAACAAGAAGAACTCTGGTGTTTATCTTTTATTCAAGCGGAAAAAAAAAAATCTAAGAAAGAAAGCGAGGATATTGTTAGCGATTGTGAAACAGTAAAACCTGAGTAACCGATAGATCCGATCCAGAAGCTCACCTAGAGCTCGGGGAACGGTAAACCTAAGCCTAGAAGAAGACCACGGAGGAAGAAGGGTCTTCTCGGAGGTCAAAGATCAATGGTGGATTGAAGATTTAGATGATGACAGAGTTTAGAGGAAGAAGATGATTTTGATATTCTGATTGATTAGTTCATAGATGGCCAAGGCCTTACATATATCATGAAAGGTTTCATCGGTCTAAACAAGTGGACCGGAAATGCATAAATAGATGGATAAACCGAAACTAAATCTTAATTGACTAAACCATCTTATTGAGCTAAGAAAACCAAACGATAGAGAGGACTTCCTGTAACAATACTCCCTCGTCGACAACATCCTTGTCCTCAAGGATGACAAGTTGGGAGCTCCTTGATGAACTTGATGAAACTCCATAGTAACTTGGTCTGGAGGATGCACTTTCCAATGGACAAAGACCGTGAGGAGAGCTTTGTTGTGGTGGTGAACCTTCTTCTTGTCATTGTTTTCATGTTCCTTATCACTGCTTACATCAAGTAAGAATCGTGGCAGAGCGGAGACAAAGAAACCTCCTCTCCTCTTTCTGTCTATAACACCATATGACCTTTCTCTGAAATCTGGAGGTCGTGGCAGTGATCCATAGAACAACCAAAGGGATGTGCAGTGGAAACCCGTAGCTCTTAATGTCATGACATTTCCATCCCCATCTACGTGAAACAGCTCTTTTAGAAACATGGGATCTCTGTTACTAAAGATGTCATGCGGCTTGTCCTGAAGTTTATAAACAAGATCCATGTAGCGTTGTGAAACATCAATAGCAGTAGCCAACTTGTTCAGCCCTTCAAAACTATGCTTTGCTGTCTCTGATTCCCTTTCAAATGCAGTTGGACATAGTACTTTGAGAATGATCCACATAAATAACCATGAACTCTTCTCGCTCCTCTTTTTGGATGTCTCTCCAGCCAAGAGCAGCTTGTGTCTAATGATGCCACAGTCAGTGCCTTGAAAATAAGTAACCTCCCACATGACAATAGTCTTGTTGATACCATCTTCAGCGTCCATTAGTCTTTTAGTTCCTGCAACAGTACCAATCGTTCTCTCTCTTTGCTTACATTTAACCACATTTTCCAACAAAAGCATATGAGCATCTCTCGTTAGTTCACTCCACAGCAAGCACGACTTTGTACCAAATAATAAATTTCTCAGACTTCCATCTCCACGAGTTCTAACTCTCTGTAAGAACAACAGCTTTCCCGTGTCTTGTTTACTCTGCTGAAAAACAACTTGCAAAAACCACTGCTTCAGAATAGTTACGCGGCTGTGATGCGTATGACTATCTTGAAAAGCTAAATTAAAATCTTCAATCTGAATTCTTATATCAAGTTGTCGCAGGCTCCATTTACGCATCATCCTCATTTTACACTTGATACTCCCTCTCCTCGTGAGTGTATGTCTATCATCTTGTGGCAAAATTTTCAACATAAACTCTGGTTTATACTTGAAGTTCCAGGTCTTGTGGGACTTCCTCTGCTTCTCCCGACTTTGCACTAGTGCATAATCTTCTTCATCAGTGTAATCTGTTCTTGATTTCACTGTAAATATGAACTTGCCAACACAGTTCCGCTGCTTCTTTGAACAAAGTTTGTCCCTCACATGAATCTTTATGTGAAATTTCACAAAAGAATCTTGATTTGCTTGCACCTTCTGTCCTGTAACTAACAGCTCCTCACCATGTGTTTTCCCTCCAACAAACTCAAGATACATCAATTCCAGTGGTAAACAAGCTTTGTAGTATGAGTATATTGAGCCAAACTTCTCCAACATTACGGTAGGAAACAGCAAACTCTGACATTTCTCTGTCCATTTTCCTGCTATTACTTTGTCGAACCCACCAGGTTCCCACATTCGGTTATCCCAAGATGAACTGAGTTTCACTACCTCGTTTTGCTCATGTTCAGTCAACATCCCACCAGGTTTCCACACTCGGTTGGCTAGAACAAAATCAGAGGATCTATCCCTCTCTTTCACCCATGAAAACTCCTCTAACTCTACGCAATGAAGTGTCTGTTTTCTTGAGCTTTGATGTGTCAACTTACAGCTTTGTAACTCTGCCTCCATACGCCTGGTATAAACACACAAGCTCCACCTGTGCTTCCCGTGACACTTCATGTCAGCAAGAACTAGCTGTCTCATGCTCTCTGACTTATGCATAATCCTCATTTTACACTTTATAATTTTTCTCCTCATGAGTGTACGTTGTTCAGCCTGCAGCAAAAATCCCATCAGAGACTCTAGTTTGTACTTGAATTTCCAGGCCTTAAGACACCTCCTCTGTTTCTCTTTACTTGTTACTCTTAGTGGAATTTGATCAAAAACTTGGTGCTCAATGTTCTTTCCATGAACACTTGTTGATCGCTGAGGCAACACTTTCCATTCCTGGGCATGTAAACCCACGTTGTGAACAAGCAATACATCATAAGCGGTACCTGGAACCTGCAAAACTGAGGGCTCGATGAACGGATCTGAACTCTTCACAGCTTCCACGAACGGGTCTGGCTTCGTCACCGTTTCCTGGATTTGCTGAGCGTCCTCTTTACCCTCCGAAACTAGATCATCATCACATTCCGTCATGATAATCTTCGATCTCTTGTGCTTAGACTGAAAGTGACCAGGGATATCAAGCTCATCACAAAACAAACATAACCCATTTTCCATTCTCTCATACACCTCCTCACATGAGTATGTTTTCATGATTTTGTGCCCTGGAGAATCGCACAGCTCTGATACCAATGAAACAGTAAAACCTGAGTAACCGATAGATCCGATCCAGAAGCTCACCTAGAGCTCGGGGAACGGTAAACCTAAGCCTAGAAGAAGACCACGGAGGAAGAAGGGTCTTCTCGGAGGTCAAAGATCAATGGTGGATTGAAGATTTAGATGATGACAGAGTTTAGAGAAAGAAGATGATTTTGATATTCTGATTGATTAGTTCATAGATGGCCAAGGCCTTACATATATCATGAAAGGTTTCATCGGTCTAAACAAGTGGACCGGAAATGCATAAATAGATGGATAAACCGAAACTAAATCTTAATTGACTAAACCATCTTATTGAGCTAAGAAAACCAAACGATAGAGAGGACTTCCTGTAACAGATTGTACTTCTTGAATTTTGTTTCTTGTTTATCCTTCTCGTTCAGTCGTTGAGGCATTTACTTAATGAATATGTCGATTAGGACGTCTGACTTCCCCAAGTAACCTGATCACCTAACTGTAGGTTTATTGGTCAGACTCGTTTGACGTGTTGACCGAGAAGAAGATATGGGACTGATTAGTTACTTATCATCATGCCTGGTAAACAGAAAATATTAATTTAAAACTCAGTGTTCTTCCTCAAATCTTGATCATATACGATGATTGATTAGTATTTTACGGACATGGTGGTGAATCACCACTGGTGATATCTTTCCAAAAATCCAAATATTTGGGTAGACATGTTCTCCTGAAATATATTTTAAAATTGACATGAAAGTAATGTGCACAAATTGACACAAAAGAGAAGAAAACAAAAGAAAACAGAAAGTTACATCGTAGTGTCTCTATATGGTGTAAGCCTCATGGATCAGTGGCCTTTTGCTTGTAAAACGTGTCAAGAAAATGATATAGAGTTGTACCGCCAAGCAAGATTTCAGTCCCTGAGCCAATAGCTACCGTGAGGTCGGCAAGAACGGTGAGGGCAGTGGCACCGATGCACATTCCTCCAAAGGCGGCTGCTCTTGGCATGTAGCGGTTGAGCTCCTTGTGCAGATTGGAGTCTCTGCGTCCAGTCATTACCATATGTTACTCCTTGAGTTGCTTGGTCACGTCTCTAGCCGAGGATAAGTTGACTACAAACAATAAACACGAAGAGAGTGGTCATAGTGTTGACCACTTTCTCCCTCAATGGAACCTTCTTCAACTCACCACCCACCACCACTATGCAATTCTGGCAGATATTGTAAAAACAGCTTCACCATATGCAATACACGAAGTCATCCTACTCTCATACTTTCTCTGTCTAGTTTTACAGGTTGATTCAGGTGGTTGCTTTCATGCTTTGGTAAAATAAAAACTATGCTTTACCTTGTTCTGTCCTGTATTCGTGTGGATCCTTTCTATATAACAATTTCACAACCTCTCTAATCCAACTGGGATTAGAATTTCCATTTTTTAACCTTATCATTTTCTTCTAGGCTCATTAAGATTGACTAAGACCAATTAAGATTGACTTCGGCCCATTTTGAAATGTAGGTAGCTAGGCTCATTAAGATTGACTTCGCCCATTTTGAAATGTAGGTGGCTAGGCTCATTAAGATTGACTTCGGCCCATTAGAGAATGCCAATGCCCTGAAGACCAAATTCCTTCTTGGTGGTCTACGTTACAATTGCTCAATCGTACAAAAGTTTGCCATAAGTCATTTAGAAAAATATTTCAATTATAGGGTGCGTATATTAGCAACCACGCTTTAGCTATATTGCAACAACTACTGTTAGATTCAATTCCCAAACGTTTAACATTTTGATTCTAGAATATTATTACAAAACATAAATAAGATATTAATAATGCAACTTCTAATCCAAAAATGCATAATACGATTAGAAAAAAAAACACAAAAACTAAAGGGAATAAATATGAAGCAAAATCAAATCAATTACAAGGTGAAATAGGGTGTAGGTAGTACAAAAAAACAAAATAGTTTCATACTGAATTAATATTGAGATTGAAGGGGTGTAAAATGTAAGCAGAGTTACTAATAAAACACCTTCTGGGATTAAAAAAAGAAGAAGGTATTATCAGCGAAACTTGCAACTTTGGTTTAGGCCTCACATGAATCAGATAAGTACCACATCAACTTAGCTGGGATTAAGAAGGCCTTTCAATCTCTAATTTCTCTTCTCTATTTGAAAAATTAACAATTAACAACTATAAATCAAACTATGAGCTCAAATAATTCTCTTAATCATATGAGGAAAAGAAGAAGAAGAAGAACCCTACGACAAAGATCTAACTGAAAACCATTAAAAAAATGTAATTGATCGCCACGAATGAATAAGCAAATCAATGGCGAGTCAGTCGCGGCTGCAGCTTGGAATTGAGGCAACGACAAATATATAGATTTTTCTTTAATCATTAGGGCTTCCGGTTTTCATTGTTTTGGGCTAACACAATTGGGCCTTTGAATTTAATTGGCCCATATTTCGTTGGATGACTAACTATAATACATGGATGATGTAAACCAATTAAGGTAGGTGTAATTAGGCCTGCTATGATAGGTATTGTCTGCAGATGGTTACGTAGACCATTTAACGTCTTTTTCAGTTCTCCGATACATTTGGATTTGGTGAGCACCGTATGATTTTAAATGGCCAACATGTTTTTGATCGTGCATCACACTATTATAAATCCCATACATGATTTTCGATTACTCACCTTTGATGATAATATTTTTTAATTTTTATTAAATTTCTCAATACTCATTAAAGTTTTGTTATAAAAGCCCATTTGATGAAATCGTTTTACTCATCCTACTTCAAACACAAAGAACACCAAAAAAAAAGGGAAGTAGCTTAAGGCTCAAGAAAAGCAATTTGCTCTGCAATGGCGATCCCACGCGCCTCCTTGGCCATTTGCCTCCTCCTCTCTTTGGCCACCATAGCCACCGCTGA